AAATTTATGCCATAGTGGTTGAAAGTGTTGACTTTTAGTTCAAGGCTTCCAATAATTCACTTGTTCGGATAAGTAATTTCTACATTACAAATTTCTTAAGTCGTTTAATATTAACGATGAAATCATTAAGTATTTCAACGTCTTCTGTTGAATTTCTTAGTACATATACTTTTCACACAGTTTGCAAGAAAATTTTAATGTTGGCTTTTTAACACTTTCATTGTTACAGCGAAGAGATTGTGAGAGTTAATGCAGTAAGTAAGACGAGTAAGGCTGCCTCTATTTCAAACACCAGCCGTCTTAGCTATCAAAGCTCGCTTGAAGTTTTCTTCCTTCAATTTTATCAAGTGAGCAAGGCGACCTGCCATTTGATGTGGACGAACTTGCGGAAAAATTGCTACTAAGGTGGCACAAAAGTTGAGTGGTAACCCTAAATCAGCCCAATCAACAAGTTCAACAACTACATACAATCCCACATCGAGTACCGCACTTCGATCTTCCAATTTGATTGAGCTTGTGGATGAAGTGGAAGATTTTGAAATACTAAAAGAAGAGAACAGCTGGGTGCTGCAGTGTCGAACGTGTCGAATTTTTAAACTCTTCCCGTGTTTCCTTTTCGTCATCTTTTAATCGACCTACTGGCAAAGCAGACGGATCTTTGGCATCTGGTTTACATATGTCAGATGCCTTGTATGAACAGCTAATTGCAGGCAAGTGTGAAAAATGGTACAGCCAAAAGCAAGCGTGTCATCGACATCTTCTTTCTTTGACCCACAAAACGCTGATGACCACATGAAGATGGTAAAGCAAGGGAGGTCAAGGGAAGTACTTGTTGCAAAGAATCAACTCCGTGCAGCTCTTGGTGTTGTGAAAACAAAGTCAGCTGCAGTTCATTATGAAGCACGAATTGCTGAGCTTCAAGCTGCTGGTGCGGATGTTGGTGATTTTTGTCATTCTCGAAAATTGTTTCCAGACATGATCAAAGCAGCATGTGCTTACATCGACATGAGAGCAGCCAATTTTCTTTCTACCCTCTTCCAAACACAGGAATGCCCCACATTTTTATGTTACAGCTGATAAATCTACCAATCATCGCATCACTAATCAGGTTACTATCGTTTGTCCAGTTGTAAATGGTAGTCGCCGAGGCATTGTCCTTGACGCAAGGGAGGTTTACAGTAACTCTGATGCAACTGGTGGTACAGGTGATGCTCTAGCTGCATCCATTTTTAAAGATCTTGACGTGCATGTTGGTATTAAGGATAATCGGCTACTGCAAGTGCAAGGGCGAGTGATGGATGGACAATACGTCAACGAGCCGTTCATTGCAGGCATGAACGAGCCTGTATTTGAACTTTGCATGATGATCTGTCCTGCAAAGAAAGATTCTGGTGGCCTGTCCAATGGGACCCTGCCCATTGGTTAGATAAAGTATTTAGTCAGCTCAAGGACTCGCCTTTCGTTGATCGTTTGCTGAGAAGGATTGCACTTTATCATCAACTTTTAGTCGTGGTAAAATGCACAGCGTAGCGCGTCATACTGCTAAGGACTTGAATCTTCCGTTTCGAGTAACCAACGCATTTGCACATCAGCGGTTTTGAGCTCCAGCTATCTATCTTTAAAGAATCTTGCAGATAGTTTGAAGTGTACATCGAGACTTTCAAGGACCACGACAATAGAGAAGAGATGGGTTACAAGTTATGTGGTCAAGACTTTGTCCATGATTTGCTTGGTGTACTCGATTTGTTGTGGCCCTTGGTCGTCCTGATGCTGCAAGCGCAGGCTGAGTGGTATCCTGGTTGGAAGTTGTGCTCTCATGTTCCTTTGGTAAAACGACAGATGCAACGTTACATCGAGGAAGTATCTAAAATTGATCCTGATGACTTTGTTTGCCCAAGATTAAGCCAGCGAGTTCATGAAATTCGAGATTACCGCTTTGGGCAAAGTGAGTTGGAAACTGGTTGGTTTGTCGTTAGAGAAGGCGACGGTAAAGTGCCAGTGGATTGGGTAGCAAGAGAAATGCAGGACAGTGTTCATGATCTAGAGAAGCTGGCTGCGGATGTCATTAGTCAGATTGATGTTCGCTACACCAATAGCTTTTCCGACCTCAACAGAATGCTATCAAAGTGTTTTGACTTTGGACGACTTTTCGTGGTTTATGCGGTTTTCGTTCGGAAGAAAAAAGTCCAGTAAACAACAGGGAGTTTTCTGAACTTGGAGCTAATGAGTTTAGACGATGTGTAAACTTTTCCTCACAGATGCCACATGTTTCTGAAAAGAATTTTGAGCTTTGTAGCGAGCTATCATCCACAGTGTTTTGGCGTCTAAAGAAAACACTCATTGCCGTTGTTTGGGGTGATATGCTACACACTCACTTCCCTAATTTTTCAAGAAGATCTCTCGATGACGAAGGAATTTTTTCCTTGCAGGATGTGGTTTTCGAGGAAGGAGTCTTTGTGACTAGGTTCCAAGAAGGTACACCAAGGCAGTTCACCCTTTCTGAGGTCTTCGAAGTGACGCTCAACAATGGTAAAATGATTGACGTTCTTTTTAAAGAAGAGGCCGTTATTGAATCTTTATATAACGATTCCTCATTTTATTCAGCTGTCGGCCAAGAGTTTTGTCTCGTCTTTGACATATTTTATGCGAAATGCGGAACTGAGGCTGTTGCCGAATCTTTTTACCGGGTGGTGGATAAGCAAGAAATGGATGGTGGGCAAAGCATAAAAGTGCTAATGAATCGTGCTAAAGTTGATTGAGTTTACCATCTGTACTTCAATGCGACGCAGCACTGAACGAAATGGCAAAACTTTACATCAATGGGGACAAGGAACGTGGTTTGTCCAGACATATGATTCCTGTTTTTAGAGACCGACGAGCATGGCAAAAACACGAAGGAGAGATGTCCAAGGTTTTGCAACGCATCATAACATCACGCCCTAAGCTACCTTTCCTCTTGTAACCTTAGTCAAGCGTCAACCAGTATGCTTCGTGCAGTTATAATCAAAAGTTTTAATCCAAATCTGGCAGCAGATCGTAATTGTTTATCAATTGAAAAGCTCCCTTGCTTACCATCTGCCTGCTGATTATAAACAATTATTAACTGAAAACCTTTTCTGTCCACAATCTGGCTGCTGATTATAAACAAAGATTAACTGAAAAATCTTTTTTGTCCACCACCTGGCTGCTGATTATAAACAAAGATTAACTGAAAAACTTTTTGTCCACCACCTGGCTACAGATTATGAACAAAGATTAACTGAAAACCTTTTTGTCCACCACCTGGCTACTGATTATAAACAATAATTAACTGAAAACCTTTTTCGTCTAACACCTGGCTGCTGATGATAAACAATTATTAACTGAAAACCTTTTGTCCACCATCTGCCTGCTGATTATAAACAATTAATTGAAAAACCTTTTTTGTCCACCATCTGGCTGCAGATTATAAATATTTATCAACTGAAAACCTCCCTTGCTTACCATCTACCTGCTGATTATAAACAATTATTAACTGAAAAACTTTTTTGTCCACCATCTGGCTGCAGATTATAAATATTTATCAACTGAAAACTTCCCCTGCTTACCATCTGCTGCTGATTATAAACAATTAGTAACTGAAAACTTTTTGTCCACCATCTGCCTGCTGATTATAAACAATTATTAACTGAAAACCTTCTACTCCACAATCTGGCTGCTGATTATAAGCAATTAGTAACTGAAAACCTTTTTGTCCACCATCTGCCTGCTGATTATAAACAGTTATTAACTGAAAACCTTCTACCCACAATCTGGCTGCTGATTATAAACAATTATTAACTGAAAACCTTTTTGTCCACCATCTGCCTGCTGATTATAAACAATTATTAACTGAAAACCTTCTACTCCACAATCTGGCTGCTGATTATACAAAAGATGGTTCCTGATTGATTTGTTTTTTTTTTGACGACGTATTTGACGACGTCAGTAAATCATATTTATTTGGTGCCTACCTTTTATCGTATCATACGCTGTGATGAAACGATGAAACAGATGAATGATAAACATACGTGGTACGTTGGTCGTTCGACTCGTTACATAATACCTAAGGTAAAGTGGCATTTTTTTGTGATTACACATGACACATCCTCACGTTGTAAAAGGAGAGTTGCAAGCTCCAACTTAAGGTAAGCTACAGCTATACACATGTATCATCTTTTATGTTATGTTTCATAATTATTTGCAATTGCAATTTATCAAAAATGGAGTGTGATACGGAAAAAATAAAACTGGCATCTCGCGAATATTTTATGGCTTCGCAGCGCAAAGTCGAAAATCCGCCGCGCAAAATTGAAAATCCGCCGCGCAAAATTTCTAAAAAAAATTGATCTAGCTTGCGCAGTTTGCATACTTTCCAGTCTGGGGATTCAGTGAAGTGTGAATTGACTGCATGGACAGAATAAAGAGAAAGGAATTGTAATTTTGTATGTTTTGTATAACAAGTATAAGTGTGAATCGAAGATGCAATAAATCAATAGTGGCTTAAATCATTCCACACTTCACTGAATCCCTACTAGCTGGGCTCATGCAAACAACACCTAAAATAATATATAATGTTATGTTATTTTACAGATTGTCCTCTTCATACCCTGCAAAGTGTTCATTTTTTTAAATTAAAAGTTTTCGAATAACATGGTAAGCACAAGCTGAAGTGGAATTCTTTTGTCTCGAAGAATGCCATGTACCATTCTTGTAAATTGTCTATATGCAAAAACTCGAAAAAACCTGAAAAGGCATAATACACAAGGTCCATTAAAACAGGTAGGAGTCCATAAAATACAAATTTTGCAAGTGTGCATTCATAGATAACCCAGACAGAAACATTTAACTAATAATTCTAACAAACCTTTGCTCCAAGAATCCTTTATGATATCTAACTCCATCTTGTCTTTGGTAAAGATTGGCAGCTAAATTTAATGCCCAGCGATTGAGGCCAATGGCATCAAATCCTGGATGCTCTGTTATGCATTTTGGCTGCCTTCCTAATTCGGATACCACCATATGATCTTGCATTTCAATCATGCAATTGGCAATTTCGTGGCAGCATCTACATTCTTTTGGATTAACCAAAAGAGGAACACGGCAGTTACCACAATGGCACCTACTAAAGTTATCTGTCAAAAGCTTCGGCAACAATAAATAAACAAATTTTCCAACTTTTCTTACCAAGAATCAAGAGGAACTTCATTTTGCATTCTGCGTTCGAGCTCTTCTGTTTGGCGTCTTTCTTCTTCTGTTTCTCTAATATACTTTTCTAACCACTCTTCATCTGCAAGTGGTTCGTTTTCATACGCTTCAGCTTGGCCATACTCAAAATCGCCATCGGTGTTTCGGAGCGCATTTGATGACGACTGATCTTCGTCTTCTAAATCGAATTCCCGACTGTTCAATTCAATATTTTCCACTGTTTTTGCTGTACTTGACTCAGAATCAGATGTGGACATGTTTCGTACAATTTTTATATTAATTTCAAAGCAATATATAAAGAATTGTTATTTCACACTATGTTGTTTTGTATGCAGCGCATTCATACGTTCCTTAAATGACGTCACAAACCTCTCGTTTTAAGTCCCTCAGCGGCGCGGAATTTCTCAAAAGCAAGCTAATTCAAACCGCAAAAACTTTGTTTTTCTTTTTACGAAATTTTTCGAAATCATATTTTCCACAGTCTAAACTTTAAAATTTCAACGAATTTGAAATAACTGTATGTGCACTTTAACGTTAAGTCTCGTTAATAAAATCGATATGAATCGAACACTTCTATTAGGCAGTATTCAATTTACTAAATATCCTTCAATTCTGAAATCATTTCTAACGATGCCTACACAGTTTAGTTGCTGATTTTCAATATCTAGGAGATTTCTAACGGGGAGGGGACTATGACGACACACACGCATTTTGCGGATCTAGTCTGCCTCCAAAAGTGTTTGCTAAATGTTTGCATGAACTTCATACTGTTTCTAAAAATAAAACACACAAGCACTTATGAATTGTGAATGGTACGGCTAGGCAGATCCATGAATATAAGATTGCAGGCGGTTTATGTTATCTTACAATCATGAACACAAGATCCATTCAGTGCAGCATTAACCAATGGGCCCAAATCTGGGCTACTACAATTTTTGAGCCCCAACGACAATAAATTTAAAAAGCAATATAATACGAAAACAAATGCTTTTCCCTATATTTAACACAAAGAATTTATTGTTTTCATGAGGTAAAATCTTTGCGCCAGCCAATGAAATGATATTTCATTATTGAAAATTCATTGGAGTCACATCTCTTACATTCTTCAATTGATTTAAAGCCTAAATCTGCATGCGTTGTACTTTCTCAGTCATAGATGTAAATGCCAGGAAAATATGGACCAAGAATAAAATGTGATAGCTTACAACAACGATGTGGGGAACCCAAACTCACTGTAGTCCCTGTCTACGTTTTAATTTTGTTTCACAAATTTTCGCAAACTACGTGACCTTAACCATTTCATTGAAAGCACCGTTACATCCGCCTTCTTGCGAACTAAAGGCGTTTTAGGTCCTCAAACTATACTGCTTTAATAATCAAACCTAGATGGTAATGATTTTTTGGGGTGCCAACTTTTTTATGGAAAAGTAGCAAATGCGTCAATAAACGGAAAGGTTGTCAAAATACGGACACAGAGAACACCATGCCACAAAAACTGCCATGTACTATCACGCATTATGATTTGTAAAAGAGTGATGGTTGGGCTTGCATGTGGGTTAAGTATGTGGAAGGGTATTCAATAATTACTTCGAAATACGTGAAATTCTGAAAACAAAAACATCGTGAAAAATAAAATACTTCGATTCATATTAATGATCTAACATAACTGGAAGTTCGTCGATTACAAATTATCCTCAGCTGACCAAAAACAAAGCTTAAACAACCGATCTCTAACATACTTTGAAATCATCTCTTTTGGTAACAAAGCAATAAGTAGTTTAAATAAAGTTTTCGTAGCATACGCGGGAAAAATCGTTCCCGCCTTAAATGATGCTAAGGGTGATGCTCGATGCTTAAAGAAGAATATCTTTGCAACGAGCAACCTTTCACATTAACTTTATGCTTTTTTCATAGAATTTTTCTTAATACTTTGTGATTACCTCAGTAAAATACCGCTGATAAGTTAAGCATATCATTCCATTCTTTAAAGTACAAACGTTTGCGCAAATATTGTCAAATGATTGAAATGCTAAAGATGCGCCATTTATTTGGCTACACAGACAACTTAAGCCCTTGCTCTTGATCCCTTCCAAACAAGATAACGTTTTTTTGGTTTCAGAAGTATAGCTCAATTCTCGAAAGCTGATAAAGAAAACTGAACAGAAAGACTGAATACATGATCATAAACAAAAGTTTAGATGGCAAAACTATAGCCTTTCAAACGTACAGAAAAAATGCAAAAAAAGCAGATACACTTAATATGGAGGAGATACATTTCTTCACCATAGAGAACAGTTATTTGGCTGGCTCTTGACCGGCGCCTTTATTAACGTCACTAACGCATATCCACCCTTCCACAGTTTCCCGCCATAATGTGACCTTGGAATAGGAAATAAATTATTTATATGCATGGTACAAAGATAATATGCGAGAATTCTCACCCTAGGGATGAATTGCAAGACATGTATGTCAACTATTGTAATGTAAGCTGTAAGATGGCGTCGCGATTCGGTGTGTTTTATACATCCTCCTCTTGTATTGAACTAGTTCCGAAGTATTATTTTGAAAATTTTCTGTTATGAAGATTCCATTTGTGATAGTCATTGTATTGACATTTTCGTTGAAAAAGTGCAAATGATGTGTCAAGGAAAATGAAAGATGTTTCAGTTAAGAAAAAATGTGTTCGATCTCATCATGTTTTGACATCATTGAAGAGGATGTGTCTCCATAAAGCATATAGTAGTTCGAACGTTGAATAGTTCATCATTTTAATATCGCATTAACAATAGTAAATTCGTCAATCTGACAATGGAAATTGACAGACAGTTCCACGTAAAGCACGTACATGCCAAAGATCATGAAGTTGACTTTAAACAATAATTTACGCAACTTTTTTACGCTTTTTTTGGACCTTCAAAAAAAGGGGGAAATTGTAAAATATCCAACGCAAATAATTCAAACTAGTGGCACGATTCATATAAACTGAGGAAAATGTTCATTGCCCATGTGTACAGCGCATGTGCATGTCCGGTTCGCGACGCCATCATGTCCCGCTATCGCTTCATAAAAGTCAGGAATCTGAAACTTCTGTATCTATGCTATAGCCTACATCTAAATCTACATAAGCTAATGTAAAGCAACAAGTTTGATGTTTTGACCGTTGTACAATAACTTACGTTGTTGTCACCACAAGAGACAGCCAAGATATTTCCTGCAAATGACCAGCTTAGATGCCAAACGACATCGTTGAATTGATGAATTTTTACGGCCTCCCATTGGCCAGGTTTTGTCTCATCCTTCGTCCATACTATGACGTAGTGATCCTGTAGAAGAAAACGATTTATTGACAAAAAGCAGGAAAATTGAGGAAGCTAGGGAATGAGATGAAAAGTAAAAGAAAAATATCGAAAAAAAATTACAACGTAAACAGCATTCCTAGAGACCAAATTGACTACTGGAAGTTTTAACATCATACTACGTAATTATGACAACATAGACTATAGTTGTGACTAGAGTTTATAGAGGGACTTAAGATTAGACTCAATTTATCTAGTCATTTGTGATGATGACACATGACACGAGTAAACATGACCTCTTCATGACTCTAGACTAGTTGAAATTAAATATGAAATCACTCTAGATGTAGTATGTGCGTAAGGATCAAAGTTTCAACTTTATGTCACTGCTGATGAAGCCATTATATTGGGGTGTATAATAACCCAAGAATGAACTCTTTAAAATCAAATTGTAATTCTATTAGCATCTACCGCAGATCCCACGAGATACTACGCATGGGCACATTGGTCATTCTCACCTTGCTCACCGCCATTACAGATAGTGAATTTGGTCTTATACGAATAATCCATAAAATAATTTGCCATCCTGCTGTGTAGAACGACAAAAAGTTCTAAAAACAATACAGGACAAAAACACCATAACCACTGAGTTTGCGCGGCAAACTATTTTTCTGTGGTTAGATAATCTATTCAAACATTTGTACTGAGATTGATGATGAGTGGATGCAGATGTGAAGCTTCAAACTGTATAAGCCATTGGGTTTTATGTAACTTAATGTTTAAATCATGTCATATCTTTATCAAAATATTTTAGTTGAGTGTTGTTTGAATGTTACTAATATCTAATGCACTATACTGAAGCATTAAATATTCAGTGATGAAACCTTTAAAGTTACTGTACTTCTTATATTTCTTTTAAGAAAAATTTGAGCTTATTTACCTATTAGAGTACAGAACGGAGATTTATCATATGCATTATTGCTGCTTTTTTAAAGAAAAGTTTTCACTTTTAAAGCTTTTCTACAAATTTTTGCTTCTTATTTCTTATCACGAGATTGATGATATAGAGGTAATATAATCCAATAACTTTCTAATTTCTAAAAGCTTTTAAGCTTCTAGCATAAGAGTATACTATAGGTATGTAATTCATTTGGTTTATTGCCTTGCTATGACATATCTACTTGCACTTCATCATTCTTGTATGAACAAAACACTAGATGTGGATACTCAGAGAACAAAATGCACTACCAACTGCTTATGAAATTTATTATTGAGGTGAAAACTGTGTTAATCATTCAAATTATAGTGCACTTTTATTGCAAATATAGGAAAAACAAAACAAAGTGAAAAGAAAGGTAGAAGTATTAAAACTACAAATGAATTATAAACACCATTGGAAGCATAAGTGTTTTGATGATTATTTGCATTTTGCCCAATTCATATATCAATACAACAAAATCAAAATGTGCTACAACTTTACAAGTATTTGATGCAGTTGCACTTCAGAACATCACAAAAGGTTACTTAAAGTAATTTCTATACAATATTGTTTGTTTTCATTTACCAAACCTATGCAGACTTGAGTCTTTTTGAAATTTAAAATGAAACTCAATTACAGAAAATCCGTAAATATCCAGAGATTTAATATGTACTTTTTTAAAGAAACAAGTAAAAATCCTACAATTGTGGCGAAAAAAGCCATTGCCCATTGCATGAAAAGAAGCAAAATAGCAATGATAACAAATAAGCTAACTTCTCTCTGGTGAGCCGTGGAGATGAACTATGATATACTTTTTTGTATAGACTAAAGAGTTTAATCGATCAAACAAATTTGACGCTGGTAAGAAAACGACGCACATCTGCATTCATACATGTGTAGCCCACATATAGGTCTTTCGTCGATAGTTATAAATGCATCCTCGTAGGAGCAGATAACTGACAACCACAGTTGACTCGCTGTTATGAATTTAAGGTTTTTACCTTGATTTTAATCAAAAAATTGCTTGCCGAATCCCAAATACACACATACATTTTCCTCACTCTTTCTTCAGGAGGGATTGGGAAATTGTGAAATTTTGGGAAAAGCGGTCAATTTCGGTAAATCTCAGCGGCACAGGACGAAATCCGCCATTTTTTAGGCGTCATCAGATATCTAAGGTTGCGCTTGAGATAGCCTCTCCAGTTATTATAGAACTCAATGATGCTAATAGAATCCCAATCGAACTTCAACTTTAGGTAAGTCTCGTTCAATTTCCTAATGATTGCTTAAATTTGAACCTAGGGAGACGTCAGTAGACATGGAATAGCACCTTGAATTATCACAAATTACCTTACCTGGGAACAACTGGCAATTTTACTTGTAGGCAATCCAATATTTGGCGCCCAGGCCACATCACGCACCCAATCGCTATGTGCTTCCAGCTTCTCTTCCTCTTCCCACTGGCCATCAGTTGCACTTAATTAATAATGGAGAGATTACATAGAAAACCACACTGACTTTTGTAAATTGCTGTTTTCTGAATCACATAAAATAATGGAAAACAGTATGGGGTTTACAAAGCAAGTCTAGGAGGTGAAATTAAAGGCAATAAGGATCGTTGAAATAGAGTTATAATTGTTATCAAAGGAAAAACAAAACATGGACACAATATAAAATCCGTCAATCATTCACGATGTTAGTAAGCCCTTAATAACCGAGCACGATGATAATAAAAGGTTTAATAACGGTGTAAAAAAACGTTCTTTCTTTTCTCGTTCTCGCTGCTTTGCAAGGACTTGTTTTCACTCCTCCACTCTTCGTCCGTAAAAAGAAATGATTTGAAAATGTGTCCTCTAAAAACTAATTTTCCGAGTGTTCTTCCTTTCACTTACATTCCTACATGATTTTTTCTTCGTTTTTTTTTTCGTTTCCCAAAAACTTTAATGTTTGCTTCACGAAGCTAACATTTATTTGTAAAATTACATGCGATGGAGCGCTGATCCATTACAGGAAAGTAATTCTGCGCCAGCAAAAATATTTCTGAGCCAATCAAAACACGCCATTTCACCGGAAGTGTCGCTTGCCATATAAATATACATAGTTAAAGTACCTCATCTTCCATATTTTTACCAAATTATCGCAGCCTCCAGTCACTAATCGTTTCTCTATTTCGCCACGCTTCGGATCATCAGCAATCTAAAGAACACGAAATTATATTCAAATCCCACAAGTCATGCACCATGTGCCGTCAAAAATTGTTACTCTAAATCAAACATGCTTTTAGCTACAGTCTGATTTGAAAGTTTAAAGTCGTTCCTATGAAAAGTAACTATTTCAATGTTACAATGAAAAAATGTTCAATTCTTTAGTTAGTTTCCATATTATGTCATATTACTTACATTAAAAGGGACCCTGGATGCGTCGAAGGCGCCCAACTGACAGCATTACATCCAATCTAGAGGAACATTAAAAATTGCAACAAGTCATATCTTACTTGAAAACAACCCAGTTCAGGGGCCGTTTGTATGAAAGGCGTTTTAGTCGTTAACCACCGTTCAAATCGCTATCTACAATATAAATTTCAAACGCTTAATTTAAATTCATTTCACAATACGTTATGGTGTGTTTTATGTGACATCAAAGCCGTAGCAACGGAGGGGAGAAATACTATTATTTCTTACTGTGTGTGCATTGTTGATCTTTTTTACCTCCCAGTGTCCGTCACCTACGGTACGAACAGAGTTTCATTAGAGCAAGATTTTTCATATGAAAATAACAAAGTCTTTTCATTAATTAATATCGTAATATTTTTACCAGTCTTTTGTCTCGGTAAGGTAAATGATTCTTTAAGACAAGCACACATTCATAAATTTACGAGGTACGTATCTTGTCATCATACGTACAATACTGCTATATTTCTATGTTTAAAAATATCGTATACCTTCACTTGATATGATTGAAACACTTCCATCTGAGGAGCCACAAGCCAGCATCAATCCATAGGCTTCAGGAGCCCAGCAAAGAGAATTCACTAAAAATGGTATAGTAGTTATATAGGTGGTGTGTGTATTAAATGTGATTCCTAAAGCATGGCATATGGACCAAATGCGTGAGTTCTGACCCTACGGATGAATTGCAAGACATGTATGTCAACTTTTGTAAAGTAAACTGTAAGATTCGGGCGTGTTTTGGCCGTTATTTAGGAGATGGCAAATGGATAGATCTAATTCAACCATTAGTTGACCGGTCACAAAAAAATTTGGCGTGTCAAAGCAATGAATATGGCTGGTTAATGACCGCTGACCAACACTTCTTGGTAACCCGAGAGGTAGGGTTACCAGTAGCGTAGCCAGCCTGCGGATTAACTCCTAATAGTAAAAAGTCGGGCTAACTACGCTACTGATGGTGATGTGTTGATACCTGATGAATCGTGGTTTATAAATTCTTGCAACTTCATCCATCCATTACTGTTTTCTTTCCAGATAATTACCTACGTACCACAGTTAAAATATGACTAAACAAGTAGAACATGCCATTTCTCATGTATACGTAAATCGAGAAAGACAAGTTACTGTGTTACCTTTCTGTCATAGGAACAGGAAGCCAGTAGACCACCAAACATTGGATGCGCCCAGGAAACCTGCCAAACTGGACCGTCATGGCTAAAATACCAAGCAAACATAAGAATACATATTACAAATACTTTATCATATTGTAATTTGTGTTATTTATCATTAAATGAGTGAATTCAATGCCATTTGACGGGACCCGCCATTCGAATAAAACAATGTAGGGTAAAAACTGGGGTATGTACATAATCTGTGATCTGTAAAATTTGATCTGTATGATTCAGTATGTAATATACCATCTCCTCTTCAGATTTTCTAGACTATTAACATTAACGACATTATCAAGCCAAGCCTGAATATAAATTTGTGTGCCCAGCCTGCCAAAATAACCCAACTCAATCCAATTTGTGTCAAAGTGACGTGACGCATTAATGCCCGTCCAAATGATTACAACAATCAATTTGTGCCAAACAATGTCCGTGACGGCCGCAAATACTCAGGCTTGGACATGATATGGATCTCACCACCTAAAATGTAATAAACTGACTTTATATAATACTTATTGTGAAATAGAAATTAGTGATCAAATTTTTATTTCACTACTTTTGTGTCGAGTAAAATTTCTCTTTTTTCACTCAGATAGAAAAATACGCTCAATAGAGAAAGGGGATGATGTAATTTTTTTGATGAGAAGTTAATCTTAAAACAAGGAAGCATCTGGTCATGATCATTGACCAAGCAAAAACTACCTTCTGATGACAAGAATAAGTTTTGTACCTTTTTTATTAAATCACAAGACCTTTTTAGGGTGTAAGTATTTAAAAAACCTATTGTCTTTCTATAGGTAATGAAGAGTATTATCAAGTTGTACAAAAAAATCAAAGGAAAATGAGATGCATCTGATTTTGACAACTACAGTTGTATTCTTACTAACAGTGAGCATAGGTTGAATAAGATTGAATTGCTAACATCGTCTAGAAAGGGATGTGTTTTTTTTAACAAACAAACTTTATGAATTGCTATTGGCCTTGTAGACATTGCAAAACCTAATTTTTTTACACTTTGTTTCAGAGAACAACCCAATATTGCATTAAGTCATCAAACAAGGTCTCACATGTACATATCTTCCTACCCTCGTAAAGTAGCAACATGGGTCTGTGTGTTACCATTCACTTCAAAGACCCTGACACTGCGATCTGACGAGCAAGTGGCAAGTTTACGGCCATAATAGTCCATCTGGGCATCATGCTAGAAACATGGATAAATTACATCTCAACACATTGCTAACTTGAAACTGTCATAGAAAAAACTTTTTGAAATGCATAGAGACCTGGTTCAGTTGAAATGACCTAGGCCAACCCTGACGAAAATCCTGAATAGGATTCTGCTGAGGATTTTCACCTGGGAATGCAAACTATGGCAGGGGATCAGAATGAACAAAATATGAAACAGTACTTGTTTCATGTTCTACATTTGAGAACATGTCATGAGCACACAATAAAATAAACAATCACTACTAGTCACATTTATTATAACAGACATCTTGGATAACATGACATGAAAATCTTATTGCAAGAGTTTGTTCAAAGAATAAGTTGTTTAGCAAAAACACAATGAAGACAGCAGTTACTTTCAAATTTCACATGACTTGCAAAAAATAAGCATATATTTTTGTGTGGACAGGACTGTTGAGGTATTTGACAAAATTGCAGCTTTTATTACTTGACATTAATGTGAAATTGCTTGCCTTAAGACAATTGCGCCATTCATTACCAAAATAAAAGGAATATGGTTTGAACTCGGAAGTATTGTTAGATATTTGTAGATGTAAATTGTCTAGTTTAGTAAAGTCTGGACAAGGACTGTTGGTGTTGATATTGACTGAGGTTTCCACAGCCTTACGGTAGAAAAAAACAGTTGGTCTCTTCTACATCTACAAACATCATCATCACAAATTTCATTGTGCTTTGCTAGCTTAAAATTTTGTGCAACTGGAAACAGAGAAAAGATCTCACTTACAGACTGTAATTTTTCTATGGTGGAAACATGGGACTATTATAAAACTACAGCATGACCACATTTTTTGAAATGCAATTTAATTCTAGGTACAAACTATTTGCAGATTTCTAGTTTCCATTGCCATTTCAAAATATCCACTTGTGAGAATCTTGCTTCCTAACTAAACCTTTCATGTGCTACACCTAAACCTAAATGCTACATTCACGTGAGAATTCAAAGTCCAAACCAACTGAATATAATACGATATATATAACATATAATATGATTATCTTTTGAAATGCAAGTTATGCTTCTTATGCAGTTCAACAAAAATCTTTCTTAGAGTTTCTTTCTCTAATACCTCGTTAAAAAATACATAGAGCGTTCAACAGTTTGGTACACACAAAAAACATTAATATTTAAAACATGCTATCATCAGTATTATCCATGTTACAACTTGCAAACAAGATTTTCAATATCAAGTAATTTCTTCAAAGTTCAAACATCTACTTACAATCATGTCTTCATGGGTGGTATCGATCGAGCTCATCACAGAAACCTGCATAATGTAATATAATAATGGTTTTAAGACCCTGTTTCTTGAAGAAAAACCACTCGAAACACGAGTCTTCCTCAAAACAATCGATAATTTCTCATTACCATTTTGCTGTTTTGGTTGAGTTGAACGATGGAAATTTCAAACGTGGCAAATTTACAAAGAGCTTTAGGGTTGGTCAGCGGTATGATTTAAGTCTAGTATGTACTTAGTGAGCACAACTTGTAGCGGCGGGCGGTTATAAATAATCAAATTTCAAAAGTCATTTTCAAATTATGAGTAAACATGGCTACCTTGACGCAGATGAATGCAGATGGTTTCTGTTCAAAATCCAATAGCATTAATGTTCGTCCGTCGAAGATTCCTTCAAACAAGAGACGGCACACTCCTTATGCGACACCGTTACCCAATTTACGAGACAGAAATAGCCCAAGCTCCACTCACAAAGCTTCGAAACGTCGTCGTCAACGGCTGCAAGGGGAAGAAGAAGCAGAAGTTTTGAAACACGATACTGTTGCGTCCAAGGTTGTCAGCAAAACATGGCGAGTTTATCGCATCTCACCTTTGTATTCTTTTCAAGCAGATTTAAAAACTTTAAAATTGTACGAACGACATCTCAATCGCTTTCTCAGCTTCGACACTTGCTCGGCAAAAGAAATGGAGTCTACTGCAAAAAGAAAAGTTATTATTTCGCGATTGCAAGGTCATAAGGACGGAGACTTCGGCATAGAAATAAAATATCAAACAGCCGCCACAAGAACGCTTTCACCAAAGAAGAACTCGTCGCTATTTTTTTGTGCTGGAGGAAATTTACACGACATGGAAAACATCGATGTTTTGAATGAAAATTTCACATCATTGCCGATATGTTTGATCAAAATGTTTTGCTTGAAACCTTTCTTAACTGGCTTGAAGAACACATTTGTTGGGTTCTCCGTTCCTTTTTTCTCCGACCGACCTTGCCTGGTTGGTTACCCTTTGTGCTGGCATAGGCGAACCAACAAAGTCGGTGGATCTTACATACACCGTGCCAGCATTTATAACCGAACTTAACACCATTCTAGTTAAAATGGACGGTAGTGACGCAAGGAAAATTTGGAACCTTATTCATAATCACAACCAGAAGTATTTCACAAGTGAGGAAGCAACGAAAATGCTTAAGGCTATTGAAACACACTTTTATCACCATTTCAAGATTCATTTGAATCAAATGCATTTAACCACTGTGGCTTCATCAGTTGCCTGTATTCGCCAGGAAGGGCGTTTGAAGGTGCTGCAAGAAGAATGTGTTTGTTATATTTTACAACAATTGGTGCAGTTAACCAATTTTACATAGTTTATAGAGATAGTTGTAGATTAAATTATCATAATTTGTACATAATTATAACTTTTTTGTGGAAATAAAAAGAATTGATTTTTTCGATCGTCTATTAGCTTGTTGCAAATTAGAAGGAAGAAGCATAATTATTTTAATCAAGTCCCTACAGTTTTATGACATTATTAGTAATATTTGATAACACTTGGAAAAAGAAAAAGTTTTAGTTAAAGTTTCTGTTACACATTCTTGTTTGAGTTTATAAACTCCATCACAGGAAACTCTGTTTACAGCATAGTAAAATGCATTGGGGTTTTGAAGCATGGAATTTGATCAATATGATCACAGCCATCTAATCTTAGAACTAACCTCCAAAGTAATTCTTGCAATTCTTTTGCAATTTATCAACCAGGTCCAGCATCAAAAAGTTTTACAATCACAATTCACATAATCACAACTCTATTTTTGTTAAGAGCAAGAAAGCAATTGAATAACATGAATTTTGATTACATAAGAAAAACATTTTTAAAAACTAGGAAAAACTATAAAACAAGGAAAAATAAGCATATGTTAATAAACTGTTGATCAACAATCTACATTAGAACAATGACTTATATCACAGTATGTACAATTATTTTATTACAAATATTTTACAGTTATGGAATTAAAGGACCTGCCTTTATGAAGATACTCATTCAGAGGCCAAGTGTACAGATTTACTTATTAAAAGCTTCTTTACAATTTACCTAAACTATAAAAAAAAATTGTAAACAATGGGATATTATGAGTGATTGCACAAAAATACTGGAATTGGAGAGAAAGATGTGGCAGGAAAGATATTGTTTTGGGGTGAAAAGAATTGTGGACAAACACATGGTTTAGAAAGGAAGAAAAAGAAAGTGACTGAAAGCTTGAAGTGAATAAGTGATTGACTTGTACTACTCAGGATCTGTGGTAAGAGAATTAGAAATTATTTGAGGAAGGAATGTCATCCTGAGGGAGCACAAGCCAGGTTAGTTGCAGTGGATTTGGTAAGAAGAGTGAATATGGTAGCAATCATTAAAGAAGCAATTAAACAAAGAAAGTTTGAAAGTTGAAGGCAGGGCAATGGCAAAGCCAATTGAATCTTCTACACCTACAAAGCAAATTTTGGAGCAATATTATTATATTCTAAGAAAATTGTTATGCATTGTGAAGTAAAAAGGACTATAGCTTCTTTACTGGTCAAGGATTAATGCACGATTTTCAATTAATTCTACTCAACTAATTTAGCTTCAGCTGTCTGATTGCACTCATTGCAATAACTTAATCTTCAACTCTCACCCACTGAGCAGCTTTTGTATGCTTTTTACCACCACACATCCTTTGGTTAGAAATACATGCAATCCGATTTAGATTTACTTGAATAATGGGAATTAATGCGGTTCATTTCTTGATGATCATATTATTTCTAATGCAAATCCTATATTTTGTGGAAATAAATGACGCACCACATTTTGTCCACGCACACATATGTCTTTAAGTTTTAAATGCTGTCCCACGTTCAGCGTTGACGTTATTGTAAATTACTATTATTGTCATTGAATAGATGGAGTATGTTGATATAACAGAACCTGTTGCCCTGTTGGTTGTATATGTGTTGAAGAATGAAGATGTTTGTATCACGCCATTGAATTCCACACTTGTACAAAAAATTAAAAGATTTCAAGAAATACACGAAGTATTTAATGTTATAGTTCAGTTATGCGTTCAAGATTCTGGAATAAATGAATTTCTCCAAAGAGTTACTATTGTTTACCCAACGGAAATTATCTGCGTTGTAATTTTGGCTTTTGGAAAAATTATTTTGTAAAAAATTACGTAATTCGATTTGGGGGAGTTGCTATAAATTAGTTCTATAATAACTGGAGCGGCTATCTCAAGCGGCCTTAGATATCTGATGATGCCAAAAAAAGCGGATTCGTCCTTTGCTTGATTTTACCGAAATTGACCGCTTTTCCGAAAATTTCACAATTTCCCTCCCTCCTGAGAAAAGAGTAGAGGAAAATGTATGTGTGATTTGGGATTCGGCAAGCAATTTTTGATGAAAATCAAGGTAAAACCTTAAATTCATAACAGGAGTTAACTGTGGTTGCCAGTTTCTGCTCCTACGAGATGCATTTATAAACCTAAAGACTGCATGTAGGCTACACATGTATGAATGCAGATGGCGTCGTTTTCTTACCAGCTCAAACTTGTTTGATCGATTAAACCTTTAGTCTATTAGGGTCTCCAAACTTTATAGCGGAGGGCCACATGAACTTTCATTCAGTGTTGAGGGCCGAAGAATATAAAAATTTCCACGTTATCTTTCAGCTTTTTAAATTCTATGTGCTTGAAACGGAAGTAGGAAGTTGGGAGAAAATTGACGTAAGCCAAATTCTTGCTAAGTGGTTTGCTTAAGGAAGAACTTTTGCACAGAATTTATTTTGTTTACAATATTATTTTATTTATGAAGACATATGCAGGCTTGATTGAGAAGCTCCAACGGAATGTAGCTTGAGGAACCTTGTTCTATAAAAAGTATATCAAGTTCATCTCCACGGTTCACGAGAGAGAAGTTAGCTTATTTGTTATCATTGTTATTTTGCTTCTATTCATGCAATGGGCAATGGCTTTTTCCACAATTGTAGGATTTTTACTTGTTTCTTTAGGTATATTAAATCTCTGGATATTTACGAATTTTCTGTAATTGAGTTTCATATGAAATTTCAAAAAAGACTGAAGTCTGCATAGGTTTGGTAAATGAAAACAAACAATATTGTATAGAAATTACTTTAAGTAACCTTTTGATGTTCTGAAGTGCAACTGCATCAAATACTTGTAAAGTTGTAGCACATTTTGATTTTGTTGTATTGATATATGAATTGGGCAAAATGCAAATAATCATCAAAACACTTATGCTTCCAATGGTGTTTATAATTCATTTGTAGTTTTAATACTTCTACCTTTCTTTTCTTTGTTTTGTTTTTCCTATATTGCAATAAAGTGCACTATAATTTGAATGATTAACACAGTTTTCACCTCAATAATAAATTTCATAAGCAGTTGCTAGTGCATTTTGTTCTCTGAGTATCCACATCTGGTGTTTTCTTCATACAAGAATGATGAAGTGCAAGTAGATATGTCATAGCAAGGCAATAAAACCAAATGAATTACATACCTATAGTGAACTTTTATGCTAGAAGCTTAAAGGCTTTTTAGATATTAGAAAGTTATTGGATTATATTTCCTCTATATCATCAAACTCATGATAAGAAATAAGAAGCAAAAAATTTGTAGAAAAGCTTTGAAAAGTGAAAAACTTTTCTTTAAAAAAGCAGCAATAATGCATATGATAAATCTCCACTCTGTACTCTAATAGGTTAATAAGCTCAAATTTTCTTAAAGAAATATAAGATATATACAATACAGTACAGTAACTTTATAGGTTTCATCACTGAATCTTTAATGCTCAGTATAGTGCATTAGATATTAGTAACATTCAAACAACACTCAACTAAAATATTTTGATAAAGATATGACATGATTTAAACATTAAGTTACATAAAACCCAATGGCTTATACAGTTTGAAGCTTCACATCTGCATCGAGTCATCATCAATCTCAGTACAAATGTTTACATAGACACAAACTTTATGGCCTTCCATTTTACATGTTTGTGAATTGACATTTCATTAAGCATCAAAACACACACAACCTTGCCATCTTTCTTTGGATCATGAACTTTAACTTCAAAGCATTCAAGGCATCCTTAGTGAATCCATTGTCTCCATCCATAGAATTTGACCACGATCAAATTAAATAACTCTGGATAGGGCAAACAATAAATCAATTATCTTTACAGCAGTATCATTTTTTAAGACTCTGCCTGGTCAATAACATCTTCCAGTCATCTTTACTCCTTGATCTTCCCTGCATGTTGTCAGCAAATAGAACATAACAAGTTCTGCTCCAAATCATGGGTACCGTTGGGGCTGATCATTTCTTTTTGATACTTACTCACAGAGCAAAATGTTTGCAGGGTCTTTTTTGCTTTAGGGAAACTATTTTGCAAATAAATGGGTAAATTTACGATTTCATTCATTAACAAATGACAGAAAAGTATGCAGAATTTTATAAACAAAAACAGGAAAACATCAGTATATTTGGCCTTCAAGTCAGTCTTAAAAAATACGATCTTTAATTTGTATTTATGGCTGCATGTATAATTGCATTTTCAATCGTTGACGGACTAACAAAACAAACAACTACCTCACCTGTGAGAAGCGATATGTTCCTTTTTGTAGAAACTATGACATCCAACAATTGAACGATTGAAGTGTTGGCATTATAAAAGAAATGCCAAAAAAGAATCGTCACAGAATATGGAACTAACGATATCCATATTCTGTGATATCGTGTTTGTTTTTGAAAAATTCTTTATAATTTACTATAGACACCAGGGGGAGGTCGAGAATATTATTTTTCTGCAAAGCGATCATTTCAGCGGAAATACGTCTTTGGTCGCCATTTTTTTTGGTGTCCTCCCCCCAGTAAGCTAGGGCAATGACGGGTCGTCCTCGCCCCGTCATTACCCATTGCAGTAAAGTTAGCCCCTCCAGTTATTATAGAACTCAATGGGGAGAGGACGCCAAAAAAATGGCGGCCAACGGACGTATTTCCAATGAAATGATCGCTTTGCAGAAAAATAATATTCTCGACCTCCCCCTGGTGTCTATAGTAAATTATAAAGAATTTTTCAAAAACAAACACGATATCACAGAATATGGATATCGTTAGTTCCATATTCTGTGACGATATCTTTTTTGGCATTTCTTTCATAATGCCAACACTTCAATCGTTCAATTTTTGGATGTCGTAGTTTCCACAAAAAAGAAAACATATCGCTTCTCACAGGTGAGGTAGTTGTTTGTTTTGTTAGTCCGTCAACGATTGAAAAGCAATTATGCATGCACTTGAAAAGACATAAAATACATATTAAATATCGTATTTTTTAAGACTGACTTGAACGCCAAATATACTGATGTTTTCCTGTTTTGGTTTATTTAATTATGCATACTTTTCTGTCATTTGTTAATGCATAAAATCGTAAATTTACCCATTTATTTGCAAAATAGTTTCCCTAAAGCAAAAAAGACCCTGCACATTATCCTCTGTGAGTAAGTATCAAAAAGAAATGATCAGCCCCAACGGTACCCATGATTTGGAGCAGAGCTTGTTATGTTCTATTTGCTGACAACATGCAGGAAAGATCAAGGAGTAAAGATGACTGGAAGATGTTATTGACCAGGCAGAGTCTTAAAAAATGATACTGCTGTAAAGATAATTGATTTATTGTTTGCCCTATCCAGAGTTATTTAATTTGATCGTGGTCAAATTCTATGGATGGAGACAATGGATTCACTAAGGATGCCTTGAATGCTTTGAAGTTAAAGTTCATGATCCAAAGAAAGATGGCAAGGTTGTGTGTGTTTTGATGCTTAATGAAATGTCAATTCACAAACATGTAAAATGGAAGGCCATAAAGTTTGTGTCTATGTAAACATTTGTACTGAGATTGATGATGACTCGATGCAGATGTGAAGCTTCAAACTGTATAAGCCATTGGGTTTTATGTAACTTAATGTTTAAATCATGTCATATCTTTATCAAAACATTTTAGTTGAGTGTTGTTTGAATGTTACTAATATCTAATGCACTATACTGAAGCATTAAAGATTCAGTGATTATAAGCTTCAACAATTCCAGGCTTATGTGACCAGCAAGATACTCGTACATAAACTACTATTAAAACGACGACCGGTATACAGATAAGTCTTTATTTCAATGCAATGCGTCAAACGTACGGTTCTAAACGACAGAGTATAGATATTAACATAACCGACAAGGAGGCCTAGAGCCGTAATCATCGTTACCTCGTAATTTGGCCACTAAATATAAACATCCATGTACAAAAATACACCACTATACATGAATTGTGCTCAATCTCAAAAGACCCCAAAAACCATGCTTTTATACGGGTCCCTTTTTGTTTTCATAATAATTAGCATAATAATTAGCATAATAATTAGCATAACCTAAGCTCTATGCATCTCGATCCTACATACCAGCCCCGAACGACCTACTATACGTCGTTCAGTAATTCAAAAAGGATCGAGAGCTACAATACAAATGTTTTCAATGTTAACTTGCGCAAGTTTTAAACAATGTGTCCACCAATCTTGTCGAATAACCAAACATAAACCAATAGATACCGTCGTTTAACGTAAACAAAATAATAATAACAGTTAAGTGACAACAACAATAACGTTCGTTTTCTGAAGAATTTCTCGCTTTACTTCGCAGTCTCCAATAGGCACAACTTCCTGACATCTCGACGATAACGACTTTGATTCGCCGTGCGGATCTCTACTTGCCGAACATGTCCGTTGCTATCGGGAAATGTTTCTTCAACTATTGCTAGAGGCCATTCACCTCTGGGAGTATCTTCCATCACCATCAAAACGACATCACCTTTGATTAAGTTTCGTTTTGGGTGTAGCCATTTCTGTCGTTCTTGCAAACTTGGCAGGTATTCCTTTAACCACCTTGCCCAAAACTGGTCAGCTAACTTCTGCGCTCGTTTCCATATTTCTCGGGGGTTATTTGCCGTAGGTGAAGAACTTGCACTTGTGCTTATGTTTCGATAACGCAGGAGTAGAGTGTTTGGTGTAAGAGTTGATAAATCTCGAGGGTCATCACACTGCCGTACAAGAGGCCGATCATTCACTATTTTCTCGACTTCGCACATTACTGTAAGGAGCGTTTCATCATCAACAACTCGGTCTCCTATTATAACACGCATTTGCTTCCTGATTGTTCTGATCATGCGCTCCCAAACTCCCCCGCTATGGCTTGCTTTCGGAGCAGAGAAATGCCATTGAATTCCCTTTTCTCTTAGACGATCTAATATTCTAGCTTGATTCCAATTTTGCAACATTTGCTTAACTTCAGATTCCGCTCCTCTAAAATTCGTCCCGTTGTCACTGAACAACTCGTTCGGCGGTCCGCGTCGACTGACGAACCTACATACGGCTTGAATGAAGGAATCTGTCGATAGGTCATGTGCAATCTCAATGTATGGCCCTTATGGCTAAGCAAGTGAATACACAGCCATATCGTTTTTCAGTTCCTCTTTATATTTGACTTTAAGAGGTCCAAAATAATCGACTCCCACAGATGAAAACGGGTACTCACCAGATTTCACACGAGCTTTTGGCAGTGGGGCCATTATCTGCTTCCCTGGAGACTGGTTTCGGCGACGACACGGAACACAATTATTGACTATACTCTTCACAGTGCTAGGTCCCTTTATTATCCAGAAGCGTTGCCGTATTGCTGCTAGAGTTTGACTGGTTCCAGCGTGACCTTCCTTTGCATGGTAATACCGGACAATGAGCTTTGTAACGTGATGACTGGAATCAAGAATTGCGGGATGTTTAGATTCTTCCGGCAGCGATGATTTATCCAAACGTCCACCAACTCTCACAATTCCTCCGGCGATGACTGGACATAGTTTAGCGTATCTCTCTCTCATAGTTTTCTCGTTGATAGATGAACTTCGTTGGGTAAGTTTAATTATTTCCTGGGTTGCCGATTCAATCTCTTTTACCTTTAGAGGACCACGTTGTACTTCTAATCCTGGACCGTTTGGATAACGGCTTAAGATGTACTGTTTGAATCTTAGCAGCCATGCAACCGACTTCTGCAATCTGTACCATTCGGATGTTCGATGGATAAGTTGTATTAGCGAATCAGGGTGCATCCTTTGAGTTGATGACGGCACCAACTCTTGCTTTAGGTTTCTTTACTTCCACATCTGTGTCTTCTACGTCTGGTATGTCATCTAGCTGCGTTGGCCATAATTTGGGATCTTTCCAAAGGAAATCGGGTCCGTTCAACCAAAACTGCAAGTCCCGTTGGTCTTGGCCTGTTGCGCGACCAAGACTTATACCTCTTGATGCAAGGTCGGCTGGGTTGAGCTTGGTTGGCACATGTCTCCATTGATTCGGAGTAGAAGCATCGTGAATAACTTGTAATCGATTCGCTACAAAGGTTTGAAACCTTTTGTTCTCGCTCTTAATGTAACGCAGCACTATCATTGAATCGCTCCAGAAAACAATTTGACTTATTGACAGATCCAACTCATCACAAATTTGTTTATTCAGCTTCACGGCCAATGTTGCAGCGGTTAGTTCCAATCTGGGTACCGTGACTGTTTTAAGAGGTGCAACTCTTGATTTGCCCATAACTAAGGTACAATGAATCCTTCCTTGGGTATCTTCCAGCCGAAGGTACGTTGCTACCCCATATCCTTCAGTCGATGCGTCAGCAAAATAGTGGAGTTCCGCATTCCTTGTCTTGTTAAATTCGTGCGGTTTATAGCATCGAGGTATTTCTAATTTCACAAGGGAATGGAATTCGTTTTGCCAATCATGCCATATTTCGCTTGTCTCGATTGGGAGATCTTCGTCCCAGCCGTGATTTACTCGACACAGGTTTTGCATTATGCGTTTGGCTGGTAAAACGACAGGAGCGACTAGACCAAGGGGATCGTAGACCGAAGCTATGAACGATAGAATCCTCTTCTTGACTCTGCTTTCAATTTGCTTCCCCGGAATCCCAACGTGTCCCTTTCCGTATTCCACTGAACGCCCAATGCTTTCTCCATCGGCAACTTCTCCAACTGAAGGCTGACGCATGGCGCTCTTTCTTTGTTAGGTACGTGAGATAAGACTTCTCGATCATTTGACACCCACTTTGTGAGATGGAATCCACCGCGAGACAGCAAAACTGGTAGTTCGTCTACCAACTTCATTGCTTCTTTCCTTTCTGGTAAAGACTTGAGACAGTCATCTACATAAAAGTTACGATCAACTGTGTCGACAACTTGTTTGCTGAATTCTTCCCGATTATCTGAAGCTGTTCTTTTAACGCGTAAGAACAACAACTTGGGGAAGAGGTTGCTCCGAATAAATGAACAGTCATTTGATGCTCTACTGGTTCTTTGGATAGATCTCCCTCTGGCCACCATAGAAATCTCAGTGCATTACAGTCTTCTGGCTTAACCTTCACCTGATGGAACATCTTCTCAATATCTGCCATTACCGCTATCTTTTCCTGCCTGAACCGCAACAATACACCAACTAATGAATTGGTATAATCTGGTCCTTGAAGAAGCTGATTATTTAGGGATGCGTTGTGGAACTTCGCAGCACAGTCAAAAACGATTCTTGTCTTTTCTGGTTTTTGCGGGTGTGTCACAGGGTGATGAGGCAGATACCAAACCAGTTTTTTGAGTGACTCGTCCTGTGTATTTTGTTTATCCACTTGAACTACTTTAGCGTGCCCTTTTGAGATGTATTCCTTCATCGTTGCCTTATAATTTGCGTGAAGTATGGGGTCCCTCTCAAGTCGTTTCTTCAAATAAGCAAGTCTCCTTTCAGCCATAGACTTATTGTACGGGAGGAGTGGGTCATCGTATTTCCAAGGAAGACCAATTTCATATTGATGATTTTCTAGCTTGACAGTTCTATCCATTATTGCCTTTGCGCGACGATCCTCGACCGACAGACATTCTTTAACGTCAGCAGCCGACTCGCTAAACTCTGAATTGTAGAGATTTTGCAATTGCTGACGAATGGAACTCATACCATCTTCCCTTTCCATACACCCAAGAGCTTGATCAACATGAATGAAGTTCATCTGAGCTTCTTGATAAGGTTTTCCTTCAGAGGTCCCATCACCGTCCAACCGAGGATTGTCCGTATTGCGTAGGGTTGATTTCTTTTCCAGAACGCACTTCAAGGGGCAAAGAGCTTCGGGAACGTCACTTCCAATAAGGATAGTGACTTTCTTATCCACTAAATCGGTTAGATTAACGCCTTTAAGGTGAGACCACCCTTTACATCAGTGTTCGTGGGAATACTTTCTAGAGCAACAGGAAGAGTGTTGGTCGTCCAAACTTTATCTAGTCTGACACCTTTGCCCGTGGATACTCCAACCACATCGAGAGATAACTGTTGACCCTTACTTTTGTGGCTGCCTGAAACAGTCGCTAACGTGAATTCGATGGGTGAGCAATCGGCTCCAAGATCTTCAGCTAAACTGGTTAAGCACATGGTTGTGTTGGAGCCCCTGTCTAAGAACGCATAAGTTTCTATCACACGACTACCATAGGGTGCGCTGACCTTAACTGGAATAACTTGCAAACCTATACGACAACTGCTATATGATGAATTTGTCGCGCCAACTCCAGACGTTGGGAGTGCTTTGGATTGGCTGTCGCTTTCAGATGGTTCAGGATTTGAATTACTCCTTTCACTTGATTTAGAATCCTTAGCCTTTATTTCGGATGAGTGTAACAAAGGATGGTGCCTTCTCTGACAACCTTCAACACCGCATATGCGGGCACCTCTGCAGTCTTTCACGAAATGTCCTGGGCTCAAGCAAGCATGACAAACTTTGTGCGTCTTTACTAGGTCTTGTCGTTGCTGAAGATTTTGAGCCCTGAACTTGTGACAGCGTTCAAGATGGTGTGTGCCTTTGCATAGTACGCAGGATAAATTTCTTCCCTTTGATTCACTACTGTCAAATATTCTCTGGCTGTGAGTTGCTAAGTTTGTGCTATTCCCACTAAACAAGAAGGATTTCTTCTTCAATCTGTCAGTTCCATCCTTTCGGGTTTCATTTTTCGAGGTAATCATTTGACCAAAGTACGTACTAGCCACGGCTGCGCGGGATTGTATGAATTCAGTTAAATGAGAGAAATCTGGTGTGATGTGATTGTCGTACATATGGCTTGCTTTATCAGCCCATTTTGACTTGAGATGCATTGGAAGGCGGCTAACTACCCTTCCCAGAGTGTCCATCGAATTGATACTTGCCCGATTTCCTAACTGAATAGAACCAAGGAGACACGTTTCCATATCTCTTGCTAGCTGCGACAATTTCTCGGCTTCGTTTACTCTAATTGGCGGTCCATTCAAGACTTTCTCAAGGAATGCTTGGGTTACGATGTGATTTCGACCAAAGTTTTTTCTCAGGATTTCCTTAGCACGCTTGTATCCTTGATCCGGAGGCATAATGATGCAATGCTCTATCGCTTGTCTTGCTGTTCCTTTACAATACTGAATAAGGTAATTCAGTCGATCTGCATCATTACTTTCTTTACTCTCGACATTCACTTCAAAATTCTTCATGAACAACGGAAAGTTGCGAGGTTCGCCATCAAAACTCATGTATTCCCTTTGAGGCATTCTTAATCCCTTCACTACTTCGTCCATCGTAATCTGCTGCTTCTCTAATAGATATTGTAACTGCGACGAATTGTCTCGTTGCAAGCTTTGCTGAGTTTGACATCCAGTTCCACTGGTTATTATACTTTCTTGGGGTACACAATTTCCGGTAGGAGGTATCGCCAAGCGCTGACTTAAACTGCTTCTGTCGATTGGGTTGAAGGTTGCTGGACTGGGTTTTATCTGGTTCACGAGCGTTACTACTACTTTCCCTGTCCGACAGTTGATGTTCAATATCATTACCAAAAACTTCTTCTTCAAGCTTCCGAAGCTCATCTCGACGTCGTTGTATTTCCCGTTTCTTCATAGCCATCTCATGCTCAATTCTCGCCTGATGCATTTCTTTCTCTAGTTTAAGCCTTGCCTCCCTCATCTGCTTGTTCAGCTCTTCTCTTCTATTAATTTCCAATTCTTCAAGTTCACGAAACCGTTCTGCCCATTTTGAATCAAGCGCGCTCGTTACTCCAGCCCCGTTGTCTTCAAAATTTGTTGTTTGCGTCGGCTTTTCCCACGCACGAGCAGTCCGCGTGACGTTCACGTGAGAAGCTGCTTGTTTACCGATATTAGAATTGGACTGGAATACAGGAGCAAGAGGCGATAAAACCGAATTATCCTTCAAAAATGAAGCGACCTGACTTAGACCAAGTTCAAGCTCCTGTTCCTGTTCGTCTGCTACTCGCTCCGGCGAACCCAAACTCGTCGAAGCCTCGTCAGAAACGACAACTTGCTTGTTTTGTACGACGACGTTCGGTCCGCTTTCAGCTCGCTCGCTACCGTCATCTTCAGCGGATTCAATCATGTCTTGATTCGTATTGTTAAGCGAATTCTCTCCAGATTTAGCTCGACTCACTTGACCTGGAGGACTTAACTGTTCGCCAGACGGCTGAAGTACGCGTTTTGATAAGCCTTTAATTTTCGACTTTTTACCTTGACCCTTTCGTTTCTGAGTCATTGCTGATCGATTAAACAACAATTACGAGAACTATATAAGCTTCAACAATTCCAGGCTTATGTGACCAGCAAGATACTCGTACATAAACTACTATTAAAACGACGACCGGTATACAGATAAGTCTTTATTTCAATGCAATGCGTCAAACGTACGGTTCTAAACGACAGAGTATAGATATTAACATAACCGACAAGGAGGCCTAGAGCCGTAATCATCGTTACCTCGTAATTTGGCCACTAAATATAAACATCCATGTACAAAAATACACCACTATACATGAATTGTGCTCAATCTCAAAAGACCCCAAAAACCATGCTTTTATACGGGTCCCTTTTTGTTTTTTCATAATAATTAGCATAATAATTAGCATAATAATTAGCATAACCTAAGCTCTATGCATCTCGATCCTACAGTGATGAAACCTTTAAAGTTACTGTACTGTATATTTCTTATATATTTCTTATATTTCTTTAAGAAAAATTTGAGCTTATTAACCTATTAGAGTACAGAGTGGAGATTTATCATATGCATTATTGCTGCTTTTTTAAAGAAAAGTTTTTTACTTTTCAAAGCTTTTCTACAAATTTTTTGCTTCTTATTTCTTAATATAATCCAATAACTTTCTAATTTCTAAAATGCTTTAAGCTTCTAGCATAAAAGTACACTATAGGTATGTAATTCATTTGGTTTTATTGCCTTGCTATGACATATCTACTTGCACTTCATCATTCTTGTATGAAGAAAACACCAGATGTGGATACTCAGAGAACAAAATGCACTAGCAACTGCTTATGAAATTTATTATTGAGGTGAAAACTGTGTTAATCATTCAAATTATAGTGCACTTTTATTGCAAATATAGGAAAAACAAAACAAAGTGAAAAAGAAAGGTAGAAGTATTAAAACTACAAATGAATTATAAACACCATTGGAAGCATAAGTGTTTTGATGATTATTTGCATTTTGCCCAATTCATATATCAATACAACAAAATCAAAATGTGCTACAACTTTACAAGTATTTGATGCAGTTGCACTTCAGAACATCACAAAAGGTTACTTAAAGTAATTTCTATACAATATTGTTTGTTTTCATTTACCAAACCTATGCAGACTTGAGTCTTTTTGAAATTTAAAATGAAACTCAATTACAGAAAATCCGTAAATATCCAGAGATTTAATATGTACTTTTTTAAAGAAACAAGTAAAAATCCTACAATTGTGGCGAAAAAAGCCATTGCCCATTGCATGAAAAGAAGCAAAATAGCAATGATAACAAATAAGCTAACTTCTCTCTGGTGAGCCGTGGAGATGAACTATGATATACTTTTTTGTATAGACTAAAGAGTTTAATCGATCAAACAAGTTTGACGCTGGTAAGAAAACGACGCACATCTGCATTCATACATGTGTAGCCGACATATAGGTCTTTCGTCGATAATTATAAATGCATCCTCGTAGGAGCAGATAACTGACATCCACAGTTGACTCGCTGTTATGAATTTAAGGTTTTTACCTTGATTTTCATCAAAAAATTGCTTGCCGAGTCCCAAATACAGACATACATTTTCCTCACTCTTTCCTCAGGAGGGAGTGGGAAATTGTGAAATTTCGGAAAAGCGGTAAATTTCGGTAAATCTCAGCGGCAAAGGACGAAATCCGCCATTTTTTTGGCGTCATCAGATATCTAAGGCCGCTTTGAGATAGTCACTCCAGTTATTATAGAACTCAATGGTTATAACCAGAGCCCTCTATTAGTAAGAGTTGGGACAAACGGTCTGAGGCGAGCGCGGAGTCTCCATTTTGGTTCCTACTTGCAAAGTGAAACTATAATAATACTATTGGAAATTGGGTTTATATGCAAAAGAAGAAGGCAATTTAAGCTTATTCCATGGTAGTATCAAATATATTAGGAATAATAGCAAGCTCTTTGCGTTTTTTTAGCGATTTGCGGCAGACCTAATTTAATTTCATTGGTTTGAGCTCGTTTGCGGTTTACTAGTTCGTGCTTCAAATTGATCGTGACCCATTGTAAGAAGTATTTTTCGTACATGAACGTGTTTTCTCGGCTTATGTTCCGACTCTGTAACAAGTTTTCAAAATCTTTAAGCTTGGTGGCAAGCGGCAATGCTATCCTGGCATCAGTGTTATCAAATAGTTTGACAAAACTTTTTCGAAACTTCGAATCATAGTAATCATGCAGTTTTGGTCCGGAAAGATTTGTGTTCGAGATTTGTAACAATTTAATGGTAGTGAGTGGTTTATGCTCCCCAATTTAATCCAAGCATGACATTTTTTATTCTGAAAGACCACAAAATTTTCTTGCTCAGCAGAAAATGACAGACTTTTTTACTTTTCAGTTATTGAAATATGCAATGGTTTTACCAAGATGCATTTGGCCTCAAACGTTTTATTCCTTTATATGAAGATATTTCGCCTTTAACACTTTATAAAGTATTAATGTTTATTTCTAATAAAGTTTGTTAAGGATTCTGCTGAAAATTTTGGTGAAGCATTTCTTTAAAATGAATATATTATTTCTATAACATGAAACATTTCTGTTGTTGAAGAACAGTCGGTTTGCTATAAATGCTGCTGTTTGTAGTCTTTTATACAGCATATGAGTCTGATCCAATCTTTAATTTAGCAAAGAGTTAAATTTATTGATTGAGGAATGACAAAACTGCTGTATGTGTTTAATGATCAAACAGGGGTGTGTTGGAGGGGGCTCAGCCCCGTTTGTTCAAATCCTATGCCTTGTATTGCCAGTGAAATATATATATCAAAAAGCTAGTAGCACCTAAATATATATCAGAAAGCCAGCAATATTTTAATATACATGAGAAAGGCAGCAACAGTTGTAATATACATTAAAAAGCCCAAATAGCTGAAATTATGGAGATATGCCTCTGTGATCTTATAAACCAAAACCTACAATTAAAATATCATCTACAAGTCTAGAAGAGAAGTAATGTTCTACTTTGAGCTACAGAAGTAGGGTACATTTGTACATTTCATTACCAAAAATATATTGTACTCAGCTGTTTCAGTGAATATCCTAATTATAATTACTTCATTTTTAAATGATGAACTAAAAATACAAAATACAACATGGAAAATCATAAGAGTTTCTGTGATTTGGTGTAGTTGTTTGTTTTAGTGTGGAAGTCGCTGAGAATTGAGAGGTTTGTAGATTGACCAATTTCAAAAAATAATGAGAAATCATCTTCGATTAATAAACAAGCTTTGGAGTAAGAAAACTATTGAAACTGCATCAGCACGAACTTTGCAATGTTATTTGGCTCAAAAATGGTCTCTACTTGAGTCAGTTAATTGAACCTTATGTCAAAAGCAGCTCAGCACAACAATCACCATACGCAATCAAATTTCGTAAGTTCGACGTAAAGGCATTTCTTTCATTTTTTTCGTAATCCTCGATTCTGGCTATATGTAATGACATTTAGTAGCCGTCAACAATCAGTTATTACAAACTTATGCTTTAAAAAACGCAATATTATCTCAAAATATTGTATTACTAGCAGCAATAGACCTTTTCGAGGTTATCGCAGCCATATTGCAGGGGGTGCAAAAACATTGGGCCGAGCGCGCGGTCACGCATGGCGTCCATAAAAATTACTAATAAATGCGCAAAAATTTACTCTTATACATATTGGCCATTTCTTTCAAAAATATTTCTCAAACTCGTCCATTTTAATAGTCGAATTATTATTTGCGATTTTTTATACACGTGAGTCCAATTTTGTGGTAATCAAAAAGCGGAAAGTTAAAAAAAACATTTGTTTTTTTTGAACAACTTGACCGTCGTTTGAGAGATGTTCTTGAGTTCACAAATGTGCGGAACTCATATGACAAGTCAAACGAACGAAACCCTAAACTAGTCGTGTAACCGTGAGCAGTCATAGGCGAAATGGTAAAAAGTGCGTTGTGCAGTTGGATATTGCGATAATGATAAACGCTATCCTGATTATCAAGTTAAGAGGTCTCACGTAGAAAAGCTAGTTTTTCATAAGTGGCCCAAAGTTCAAGCACTTGCTGAAATTTGGCGAAAACAAATTGCAAACAGCAGAGCCGATGACTTTAACCCAAAGCCTGGTGCACAAGGTACTTTCGTTTGCTCAAATTATTTTCCCTTGGGAAGAAGAACCCCAAATAACTGCGGAACGGATTATCCTCCGGTTTTTATTACGCTATCAGAGTACGAGCAATCGAGGACTCCGCTTAAACGTAAAGGAGGAGAAACATGGACGACATCAAAGCGTCCTCATCAAGCCTATGACACCGAGGATTCTGATTCAAGTTTTGATGGAAATCCTGCAAAATCTGAGGCATCTTTACTCCCTGTCTTGGGAAATCAGAGAATAGTCAAATGGCAAGATCTTTCAATGTCTTTGGTATCTTCACCAAGCTACGGAGAGTTGCTGCTAAGTCAAAAATGTAGATTATACCGGCATGATGAACTCCGGGCAGTTGTGCATCATTTTCAACTAAAATTGAGTATTTGATTCAGCTCGCTGTAAAGAATCGTAATTACCAGCCAACAACATGTGTGCTGCGATCAAGTTCTGGTAATGTCAACATCCCTGTCATCTTAGTTGGAATGGAACCAATCATCAATAAAAGGAAGTCTACATTGATAACGGTGCATGTTAGCAAGACAACAAATTTCCTTCACTTGAAGTTCTCAACTCTTGCACTCTTACAAGTTTGAAAAAGAAAGCATGGTTTGGACTTCATGCATTTACTAGAAATGATTACATGGCAAGTCTTTTACGCAAAGTGAAGCCCTTTTGTAGGAAGCTTGCAAGCTCAGATCCAATGTTTTTGGAAATGTTCAGACGATTTGGTACGGAGTTGCATTTGTCTTGAAGAATTATGTATGTGGTTGTTGTATGGTGAAAAGAAACAAAAAGAAAGTCGAAAAAGTAAAAGAAGCAAGATCAACAACTTTCTGAGAAAATTGAGAAAAGATCACAAAGTCATAGACATTTCTCTCTTGCAGTCATGTAGTAACAGTTTACGAAAACACACTGCAAGAGCAATTTACGTCGCTAGAATTTGGAGAAAAGCGTGTTACCCAATCATAATAATGGATGATTCACAGTTGCATGGTTGGCTTTTCAGCTGAATCAACGATTGGATCGTAGAAGCATGTCTTGAGAACGTTTTTGGATTGATTGTCGCTCGTAATAAAAAAAGTTATAATTCATGTGAAGAGGAAAGTTCTTGCAATTTGAGTTTGGATGATGAATAATGTATCAATGTAATGTTGATTAATTTGGAAAGTATTTAGGGACTATTAGTTGTTAGCTTTTTTTTTGCTTACCATACAAATTCAAATTCTAATGTAAATACCATACAAATCCTAACTTACTTATGGCATGGTTCTTTGTAAGAATTGCAAATATGCATTTGCCATAGCAAATCTGTATAACGGTGAGGTCTAGTCGAGGGGATTTTACTTTAAAAAATTGTCCCCGTACATCTTTTATGCATGCATTCGTCGCAATAACGACTGGAAATTTTCGAAATAAAAATGTCACAAGTGATGAGGTTAAATTACGCCATATCAAGCAATAACTCTTTGAAGCAGCCGCGTCACCTTAAATAACAGCCGGATTTGGATTCTACGTCCAAAATAGGTCTAGAAAATGCAACTCGCGTAAATTCTCCTTACTTACTGCCATCACTAAAATAAAGAAAATTGCTGGTAAAACATTTTCGTAATAATGCAATCAAAATTGGCAGTATAATGTGCGATTAAAACTGTCCAGTATAAAATCATCTTTGTCCAAGTCTTCAAACACTTTATTTTTCTTTCTCCTTTTAAAAGAATACGGTTGTCAAAATTTATTATTGCAGTTGAGTCTACTGGTAAAGCCTTGAAAAATTAAAAAATCAAATGCAATCTTTTCGTAGGAAAGTAAGCGTACCTTAATGAATTTACTATTACAGAGGTTCGGAAGTTATGGGCGACTCTGATGGACAGGAGAAAACAAATATTCAACTGAGACAAGGCAATTAGCTTTCAGAAAATATTCAATTTCTAAACCAACAACTTTCACTAACCATGCAACTTTGCATCCAACCGAGCGTATAAGAAGTTATGATAAGCATTTCTTTTCAATAAAGATCCTCCTGCCAGTAAGAATTTGAAAAGCAATTCACATCTTGTCCTTACTGGAGAAAAACGATTTCAAAAATATGTTGGAAATTCGGGATTACACTACAGCAAGCAAATATATACGTATCTGGACCATGAGGATATGAGTTCGGAAGATCTGGTGAGTTCTTTTGACCACTTTACTCATTTTCAAGGGGCTGATATGTGAAAGTCATGCAAACCAAATGGTGGAAAGGGCCTGTCAGAAATGGTCATCAAACATTGGGCTAACGATCCACATAGCAATCATAATATTAATGCCTTAAAAAGATCATTGAAAATAGGCTCAAAAGAAAAGATGCTTTTGGGTTGATAGAAAATTGGGAGAAGAAATTTCCTCGCAGAGTAAACGGGAGGCAGGAAGAAGGGATTGACATCAATTGATTATACAATAAGGCTATTATTCTTGGCATATATAGTCCAGCCTTATGTGAAGATCCACAAATGATATTAAAAAAAACTTTTATACTTAAAAAATATAAAAATATTTACGAATGTGCTGTGCCGTGTTTTCGTGGCTACTTTACTCATAATTTATTTGATTACCTTACTCATGAACGAAAAACAAGCTTTCAAACATTTTGTTTATAATATAGGTGTTTAAGACCAAGGAAAAAAACTCACAAGATTATTTTTCAAGTAATATTTCTGAGTTTACTAATGTAATTAATGTGTTGGCGTGTTATTTTCAAATAATTATGAGAAATTATCCTCAAATTTTAGCATTATAACAACAGACTACTCTGCTATCATAAGGCTGCAGGCTGACTTTAATTACCTTTGAGGTTTAAAGATCATAATCAATCACTTAAGTTACATTTAGCAAATCACGAACTCTATTCTTGAGCTTCATCGCTATCCGATTCTTTATTGGCGTCCTATTTTTCAAAATGTTTTATACTCGATACAATTCACGATGTTGGGGTAATCGACAACAAGCTGCAACGATAAATTCGACATATTATGTGGGTGGAACCAAATGATTTTTTTCTCTCTCTTTCTCAGTATTGGCGAAATGTTCAAAATACGTACCTATCGACGACCTTGTATGTTTTTCCAAGTGAAACGTTCTTTCTTATGCATCGATCACCACCAACATGAATGACCGTAAACTATTGCTTGCTGAATTACGGTCATGTAATAATTTATTAGTTGTAAAACAATTGAAACTATATTCAATTCAACCATTGCTTAAAAGGAATATTCTTGTTTATGAGCAACCCCTAACTATCGTTAGCATCGCATGCAAGATTGTGAATATCTTGCACCAGTCGTACACAATATAGTAACCACAAGTATAAAACAATGCAAGTACCCCAACCAATACATGTTTGTAAACGTAGATCGTCCAGGTTGGTATAGTCCTGAGAAGGACTGTTTTTGTTGTTAGAAACTGACGTTTCGACAACCTTAGCGGCAGTCATCTTCAGAGTCAAAATGGCTACCATTTGCCAAGCTGATATGTTTGCTAACGTGATATTTAGGTAAGATCTCAGATATAAAACAGAATTTTGACAATATGAAATTCATACGATTATACATCGGGAAATGCAATGATCACAAAAAATTGTAATCATTTAATTTGATAAGTAATTTTTGAACTATAAACATCAGTCGACTGATTTGACATACCCTAGATCCGCCCCTGGCTTTTACTAATGGCCGATCTACTGTATCTGCTTTAATATCCATGACACAAAATTGGTATAATGCAACAGATAATTCTCAATTAGGAAGAAAAGGGACTTAAGGGAGTTCACGTATTACTTATAGATATTCGAAAGGCATTTGACATGGTGAATCATAACATATTACTACAAAAATTAGCATCGATGGAAATTAATAAATCTTTCTGGCAATGGATTCGAAGTTTTTTGACGGGAAGAACGCAACAAGTCAACCTACAAGGAGCCATGTCATCCATCCAACCTTGATCTTTGGGCGTTCCACAAGGTGCTGTCATATCACCAGTGCTCTTTAATGTATATATAAATGATTTATAGGACAATATTCCTAAAGAAATAGATACTAATACATGTAAATATGCGGATGATTGCACTCAAGACCAGATTGTTGAAAGAGGTGAAGGTAGTTCCACGCAAAAAGTAATCGACGAATTAAGGGAAATGGGCTGATAATAACAGAATGACTCTGAATCCGAAAAAAACAAAGGATATGTGGATATGCTTTACTTCTTCTCTACTTCTTCTCCATTTTCCAATAGAAGCTTTACTGGTACGTCACCAATACCTTTGATAGGTGTTAATTTTCCTATTGGATCCTTGACATTTTAAGTTGTCGAATAGTTCCTTCTCAGTGATGATATGATGTATGCAGCAAGTATCATTGATGATATGATTCAATCTTCCACTGTCACTATATATTCCAGTGCCACTGTTTATGCATTGAGAGTATGATGAGAATGAATTTGGTCCTCATGTTTAAGGTTCATCGGTTTTGCTCTGACTCCTACATGCTCTTAATAAATGTCCCTTTTCCTTGGACTTTGTTAAAATTAACTTAATTTCTATAGAGCACCTATTTAGGTAAGATATATTTGAAATAGGAAGTTGTTATACAGTTTTTAAGTTGATAGTCCAGATTTGATTCTTTAAAATGTTTGATAGGATTGGTTTTTTAAACTTTCTTTTAACTCATTTTCCCATTTTGAGTTTTGTTTTGCCACTGTTAAAGTGCTGGGTTACAACAGTGCTCAGGTGCGAAAATTTTTGCATGTATTTTAATGATTACTTATGAATATCGGTGCAGATTTAACAGAACTTCAAAAATAACAAAATTTTAAATGCATGGTGCAAGTCTGGCCTGGCTAATGAATAGAATGAAATATTCGCTATTTGCAATGACTTTGCGTTCAAAGATTAAACATCATTTAATCGCAACTGGCAAAAAATCAATGGAAATAAGGTCGTATCAAAAGGTTATTGTGGAAATAGTGAGAACAAAACTACAGTTGTACATTGTCTTGTCAGTATTATGTGTATCAACATATGAAACTGAAGATGTTAGTTTTGGGAAATTTTGTTATTAGGTGTAAGGTTGTTAGCATATGCCTACGTGTATGACAAAAGCGGGATGTGTAAAACAAACAATTACATGACACAAAAATAGATACGCAATGCGTACATGTAGATTGTCAAGTATATAAATACTAAATGAAGTAGATGAGATGAGCATAATTCAAATAAAACTATATATTCACTATTATTTTCGCCAAACTTGTTTAAAATTTGAAGATGTTCTTTAGTTAAATGGCCAAGTAATTATTTAACCCTTTTCTGCAATTATAAGCTTAGATAGCATGTCATGTGACTGTGCTCAAACCTTGCATCAAGGAAAGTAACGGCATTTAAATTTCTCACAACTTTTAAAGGTTTTCTCACCAAAAAGCATTTTTGCTGTAATTGTATTTCAAAAAAGTTTTCTGACGTGTCTAAGATATCGATCAGGGAGAGTACGTCGTTCCATTAAACAATAGATCAACAAAACACACTTATGACATGTATTGGATTACATAACAGACACTTGTATGTATCTATGTATTTATTGACACTAGTGTTTGCAGCAAACGGGCCGCGCTGTTTGTTGTTACTTTTTTTATGATCACATTTTGAAAAGTCTATATTTCCAACGATTTAGTGTTAATTGCAAATAATGTTTGAAAGTAAGCGCTTTGCGCATTGCAAGTTATCCCAAGTCTTTTGTATTTGCATAATTTCGTAATAGCACGATTGAAATGATGCATTTAACGTAAACGACAACTTTTTTTAACAACTTTTTTCTAACACAACTAACAATGAACAAGACCACACACACAAGCCAAACCCCAAATCCATTACTTCAAGCTACCTTACATTGGCCTCTACTCACAAATCGCAAAACGAAAACTACATAACTTGGTCAGACGTTACTGCACAAACTTAGGCATAAAACTAGTATTCTCTTCTTTTAAAATGAAAAACTTCTTCCGCTTCAAAGACCCCATCTCTTTTGTCTTAAAATCCAATGGGGTTTACGAATTCTCTTGTGTGGGATGTAATTCTCGCTACATTGGCAAAACCAGCCGCCACCTCTCCACACGGATCAAAGAGCATACCACTTCCGATAAAAACTCTCACATATTGAAACACCTCCTCTCATCACTTAACTTCAAATCTAAATACTCACAACCTTGCTTTCGTATATTAGACAGTGCCCACACTCCTTTAAAACTAAAAGAAGCACTGTACATCAAAAAACTCAAGCCTAATCTTAACAAACAAATTGAGCATGTCAATACTATCATTAACTTGTAAATACTTAGCTCCTCTAATCACTAAAAAATTGTAAATAACTTCCGCTTCCATCCCATTTGTCTATACACATGTCTTGTAGCAGATTTCTTTATATATTAACTCCATTCAAATATTCATTCATTATATTGGGTTGATTGCTCCACTAATATCCCATTAAATTACGTCTTTATAAAAAACGCAGGCCATAGAAGTCGTGGTAACTTTGACTTAAAATGGCCAAATCATATAATTTTTGTATACGAATCGCTCATAGAATTTGGGGAAAAAGAACTAACATTTCTCTCTAATTCTGGTTGGTTCCACGCCTCTTCATTTCCACGTGCACAAAAAATAAACACGGTCATTCCCAACACGTTAACGAAAGCAGCAATGTAAAAAACGACAAGCCATTGTTGTCGGGTTGGCTAAAAAAATGAAGTAATCATTAGAAAAGATGAACGATTTGCTTTATAATCATACCATAATGAACAATTTATCTAGTAATATCGAGGAAAATTTTGAAATTAGGATTGTAACCCATTAAAAAGGCTATTTACTTTAAGATTATCGTCGAAAATCAATTAGACAAAAAGGCAAATTTGGCACCAATAAAAAAGAAGTGTGAGCAGCCTTCTAAGATTTGTATTCAACAGTTCATGATCGTTGTTTAAACGTCGCAACCAATGATCCGATTCAGACAAAATTCTATTGTACAAGTGACAAAAATTTAAAATTAGTCACTATGTAAGAGTGACATAAGTAATAATAATAATAATAATAATGGACTCCGTTGATTTCGACGTATGAGGGTTCCACGAAGTGGAAAAATGGCGGTAAAATACAAGGGACTCTACCAGCAGTAGAAATACCTAATAATCGCATCAAGTGAAATCTTATCCTAGACTTGTATGGTGGCCTTTCGCTATCATCACCACTTTCCGTGTGTCAATATTATTTTCACATATTTGTAAATGATGATCGTCCAGGTTAATAAAGTCCTGAGAAGGACTGTTTTTGTTGTTGTTGACTGACGTTTCGACAACCTTAGCGGTAGTCATCTTCAATGTCAAATGAGGAGTAAACGTCAGGTTAGCCGTATTTGTTATCTGGTTCTTACGTCATTGTATTGTGTGTACAGGAAATGCGTATTGTCATTGTGGATTAGTGTGAAGTGAAATATTTTATTTTTAGTTGTGATGTGTGATTTAGGTTTGACGTTTTAGTTGTAATGTGTGGGTGTCAATTGTGTATTGTCATTCTGAATTAGTTTGAAGTGTAATGTCTTTAGTTGATCGTTTGTTTGTATTGTGAATAAGTCGTTTGTAAGGTGCCGGTAATTACTGTGATCTGTTCAGGGGGGTTTGTTCCAAGTTGGTATACCAACTTTCTAATGTAAGCCGTTGTCTATAGTCAGTACTGTAAGTGATGCATTTTGCCAAGTCCCAGTCAATGTTGGGCTTTGTGATTCGGTGATGTTCGGCGATGTGATTAGTTTTGTCTTGTTTCTTAGTAGCTCGTTTGTGCTCAGTAAGTCTTATGTTTAAGTTCCTGCCAGTTTCCCCGATATAGGAGGCGTGGCAGTCGGAGCAGTTTATTTTGTAAACTGCACCTTGTCGTTCGTTGGGTTGTTCTTTGTCCTTTATGTTCGTTAGTACTTGTCGTAACGTTGTGATTGGTTTATGTGCGACAAGTATGTTGTATTGTCGTAAGATACGCGAGATAGTCTCAGACGTACCTTTGATGTAAGGTATCGTTGCTGTTGTCACTGAGTTGTTCGTTTCGTTGGTTTCGTTGGGTTTGTAAGTGTTGCGTTTGATAAAGTCAGAGTTATAGTTGTTTTTGTCAAAAACACGTTTGAGATAGTTGTTTTCGTTTTGTAGAGCGTCCGGTGAATCACATATGATTTGTGCACGTCTTGTTAATGTTCTGATTGTGGTGGCTATGTGTGATGTAGGGTTGTAAGATGATTGGTCTAGTAGTCGGTCAGTATGTGTTGGCTTGCGATAAACTGTTGTTCCTAGTTTTTGATTGTCATGTTTTACCAAACAGTCGAGAAAAAGAAGAGTTCCGTTTTCTTCGACATCTTTGGTAAATTGTATGTGGCTGTTCTGTTTGTTGAGTATGGAAGTCATCAATCTCGTCTGCATGTAGTGCTGTGATTGTGTCATCTACGTAGCGAAACCAAAAAGGTAGTGCATGTTTTGTAAGTCATGAGCGCCCCTTCCTCTATAGATTGCATTACAATTTCAGCAACTACAACTGAAACGGGCGAGCCCATTGCTGTCCCATGTAATTGTTTGTAGTGTGTTCCTTTGTATTGGAAGTAAGTCGAGGTGAGGCAGAGCTCCAGTAACTCCATAATGTCTTCTGTCGGTAATGGCAGTACGTCCGTGGTGTTTGTAATGAGGGTTTTTGTACAAGTAAGTGCCAGATTAAGTGGAATACTGGTGAACAGTGATTTCACATCAAAAGACACTAGTATATAGTTGTCCGGTATTTGTATAGTGCACAGTTTTTTAATGAAAGTTTCAGTGGATTGTAGCTTCTGTTTTGATTTGTTTGTAAGTGGTTGCAGTATGTTAGTCAAGTACTTTGAAAGTTCGTAAGTTCGTAAGTTCGTAAGTTTGAAAGTTTGAAAGTTTGTGAAGTTTTGGTAGTCCGTATAGTCTGGGTGGTCGTGGTACTGAACATCTGAGTCGATAGTAAATACGTTCAGATATGTTAGATTTTCTCAGAGAAGATCTTGCTGTTAAGTTTGCGTACTAGTGATGGTGTCGGGTCTCGTTAGAGTTGTTCGTACGTTTGTCTGTCGTTAACAGGGGTGTCCATTTTGTTAAAGTAATCATTCCTGTCCATGACCACAGTCACGCGTCCTTTGTCTGCTGGTAAAATGACGATGTTGTTGTCGTGTTTTAGTCGTTTAAGTGCTTGTTGTTCGTCTTTTGTCAAGTTGTTGTCACGTATAGAGGACGATTGTAAAGTGGAGGCTATCCTGCTTCTGATCTCGTCTTTGGTTGTCTCTGACAAGTCTCTTTGATACGCTAGGACAGCCTCGACACTTGATACTATCGTCTCCTTCGGGATTTGTCTAGGTGTTATGGAATGTTTTAGTCCGTAAGATAGTAGTCGCGTTTCAGTTTAGTCTAATGAGCGGGAAGAAATATTCCTCACCCAGTTATCGTCATGTTTATGTCTTGTACGTGTTTTAGTTTGTTTTAAACGTTCAAGTTTTTGTTGTTGTTTGATTTTGATTTGGTGTTGTGTCTCTGTCTTGTTTGCTCGTTTCTCTGCAATAGTTTGTATCGTAGAAAGTAAAGTATCACTTACTGTCGTTGGTATGAGTTCCTTCAGTTTGTTCAGTCTTTGTTCTTGTTGTTTGATGTAATAGTTGATTCGTCTGTGACAGTCGTTAATCCGTGCTCGTATCAGTCGTCTGCTGGTGGATTTGACAAACTGAATAGCCTTTTGTGTGTTCAACGGGGACTTAATTCTAAGTCCTGCCGGAACGAGACCAAAATTCTTGCAGCGGTGGTTGAACCAGAGTTGTTGGCGTATGCGTCTGACGTTGCTTGCAAAACGTATGTAGTCGTTAGCAAGTTGTTCGCTCTGTCGTCCAAATGATCGTAATAAAGTAAATGGTTTGAACCCAGGAGTATCGTTATATGTTTGTAAATGATGATCGTCCAGGTTAATAAAGTCCTGAGAAGGACTGTTTTTGTTGTTGTTGACTGACGTTTCGACAACCTTAGCGGTAGTCATATGATCGTAATAAAGTAAATGGTATGAACCCAGGAGTATCGTTATATGTTTGTAAATGATGATCGTCCAGGTTAATAAAGTCCTGAGAAGGAATGTTTTTGTTGTTGTTGACTGACGTTTCGACAACCTTAGCGGTAGTCATGATGTTCGACTCAGCTGTTCAGTACCACGACCACCCAGACTATACGGACTACCAAAACTTCACAAACCACAAATACCCATGCGACCAATTGTATCATTCTGTGGTTCGCCTACTTACGAACTTTCAAAGTACTTGACTAACATACTGCAAACAAATCAAAACACAAGCTCTTAAATGATCCACGCTTTGTTTGGTCTATGAGAGTGCAAAAACTCCACCAACGGGATAAAATCCTTGAAAAACCCGTCAGCTCATGCAGCGAGACCCTCCGAACAGACTCGTACAGAAAGAAACCACCACCAGCAAACAACCTCTTACTACATCGCTCCCAATAGTGTGCCGTGTAGAAGTTTCGCAGTTTCAACGTGAGTGTTTTGTTCTTTATGATTGCATCTTTTTTCACGCAAATACTTTGTTTCTGACCTGACCGTTTAGCTTTCTTTGAAAGCATTTCAGTTTTAAAGTTGCTTTTGCTGACAGTAAAAATATTTTTGACCAATGCACTTTACCCATTTAACACGACCACTTTTCTTTCCAGAAAAGCAATTTACCTTTTTACGTAAGAAGTATGGGCAACCGTACTTGCATGCTCATTACGACTTGAAAGTTTAAATCATAAAAGACTAAAGATAAGATCCCTTTTCAGTAAAAAATCATGGACAAAACATTTACCTTGTTATTGGTAAGCAGTCCAACGACGTAAGGTGATACAATACCAGATATTGTGCCAAATGTGTTAGTTATCGCCATTAACACACCAGCATATCGAGGAGCAATATCCAAATGGTTTACTTGATAGCCTGATTGGTTGAAGCCACAACCAATCAACGCAAACGATAGGAAAAACACGGCGAGGGCTGTTTGGTTGCAATGGACAAAACTAGCGGCAATTAACGATGCTGCAGTTACCGTCATCCCTTGAATTGAAGAAAAACGCAGGCCAAAACATAAAGTCCTTTCAAGAAAGTCGATGAAAACAGCAGTAAAATTTGATGGAGATGTAGGCAAAATGTTTTCAAAGAAAACTGGAAAATATCGATCAATTCTACCTGTGGTGTTAGCAATTTTTCTAACTATCTCGGTTGATAACAACTTGTGATGGCGGATATAATCTGCAACATGTCCAGTCAAAACAATGGATATAAAATTGCATACAAACGGAATAGCTGAAATCAGGCCATTCTAAATGAAGAAAAATCAAAGTTGTAAGGAAGTCTTCGTATCACAGTTTATTGAGCGTGTTCCGATTAAAAATTTTGTGACTAAGGATTAATGCTGCATTCTTAAGCCACGAAAATGCAAATTATGGTACACTACAACGCTTGATCACAAAATAAGATTGAAAAACTCTCTCACTTGCACACACTTATTGAAAACACAGACAGTAAACGGAAAAACATAAATGTGCAACAGAATTTGGGTTAGTGTTGCAACTCGTCATCAAAAGGACGATCGCATACCTCACGAATATTAACTCCAAGAACCTCTTTAAAGTAGGTCGGCATTGTCGTTAGTAAGGTGTAGAAACTCCAGTTGTTAGCAAAATGGGCGACAATAATGGCCCAAACAGGTGTTGACGTCACGATTGTTTTCCAAGGTGTGTTGTAACCCTATAGAGAAGAAAACCCCAATCTCTCAGTGCACATCGTTATGCACTGTACGCATTTGCTTAGACATCCAATTTCCCACGACTTCGAAAAAAGCATTTAAATTCAAAAGTACATTTCAAAAATTCATCAGCATGCATTGACACATAACAAAATTGATTCTATTCTTACTTAATCTGTATGCGCTCAAAATCCTGTCTCCACATCAGTAAGAATTCCGTGCTATAGCATGTTTGTAGTTTTAGATCATCCAGGCCGCTAAGCCAGTCGAAACGTGAGTCAACATCAACATCAACAGTCGTTTTCAGGACTTTACCAACCTGGACGATCTTAAAACCATACACTTAGATAGTTCAGGCTGCTTTACACAATTTTGTAATATATTGTAAAGTTCGAAAGTATGATGTTGCTGGATTTTTTGGCACTCAAAGTTGAAAATTGACCATCTTCATTGTTTTGAAAAAGCTGGCACCTAATGTTATTTTTGACGTCACAACGGGAATTCGTCTGTTTCGTTGTTTAAAATTGAATGTTTTTGAACATCCACGACACAAGATGCCACACACGTGTGTAATGCGACAAAGTAGTTACGCTTTTGACTTGATTATGTGTAAAATACAATGTTTTCATAAAGCGTGTGCCCGATATGACGACAGATCTGTGCTCTCAAACTAGTTTTTATCACGGTCAACCCAATAATCACCGAGCTTAGGCAAAAGCACGAAGATCAAATGCTTGTATTATAAAATCTTCTAAACTACCTACATAGCCTAATTGGAAAATGATATAGGTTAGAAGTCAAAATTTTGGAATAGCCAAAACCACAGACAATAAGCAATGCTTTTTGTATTGTCGAATGCAAATAAGATGTAGTGTTTTCTATGTTGTTCTGAATTTACACTGAAAGAGATTAAGTCAATATCTCAGTCAATACAAATCTTGACGTTTTGATGCAAGTAGTATCTGAGAAATTTAAAAGCGCAAGAACTTCTTCACCTGATCTTTGGGCGTAAAACTGTCCTGTTGTTCACCAAGAGTTTTTTCAATGTACAATAGTTCCTTCGCGGATATTGACGGATGTTCACGTGGGGTATCGTGAACAAAATACATCCAAAAAAAACACCAAACGAATCCTAACAAACCTGTTAAAACGAGCGCATACGTCATCATTATCAACAAGAAAACACTCAGAACACACTCAGCAGTTATTAGCTCCGGACAGTGAGTAACTATTTTCCAGTTGAATCAAAAGGGAAAATATTATCATACTTGTATAAAAAATTAGAGATAATTACCAAACACATAAAATACGGAAGGCCATCCACCATCAAAACCATACGCACAAAGCCAGCCTGATAATGGATAAGCGATAATCGTTCCAATCTGACTTCCTACAATAACGAATTCGGTAGTTAAGTAGAGATGCAGATGGTTCAACTTACAACAGAACGACAAACGTTTATTGTAAAACAATTTTACGAGACAGACAATCAAGCAAAATTACGCGATATCAAAGATGTTTACAGAGAAACACTGGATACGTTAAAGATGGGTAACATTTGAAATTACTTTTTTGAGGTGTATGAGAATAAAGGTTTCGATTGCTTGAAATGCAAAATACCTTAAGGTATATAGGTAATGGAAAATACCTGCGTAAGTAGTGGATACCAATTTACTTCTTTCTAATGGTGGTGCCCAGTAACTCCACATTGCATGCATGGCAGGGAAAGTAACGCCCTAAAAGAGAAAATAGACCATTTCACGTTTGTTTGAAAGGAATAACATTAAAAAGCACGTTCATGCAATCTGTGTAGATTGTGTAAAAGCTAGATACCTTCAGTTCGATGGAAGATGAAAAACTACTTCATGTTGAAAAAAAGATCTTTCCATATCTTACATGGACATTTAGAGTGCATGCTCTTATGTTGAAACTTAAGTCCTTAGGGCATCCAGTTTCCCTTATGTAAGAAGAGATCAAGTGTTACAATATGAGGTTTTATGACAGCCAAGTGTGATAATAAAGAAAGATCAGTTGTTCAATAGCAAATGCTTTTATAAAAAGTGTCCTCAAAACAAGATTCCTAGTAATTAACAGTCCCATCTCTTCATGAATAGTTGTCAGGGGTTTTACCACACTCCAATTTAGTATTTTATCAAGTGTTGATAGCTATCTCCATTTTAATCCAGATTAGTTTGGAGCCATTAAAAACTCAATTTAGCCATGTTGGTAGTCTAACACAAAAGCATACTTTATCAGTATTAGTGTTCACATTAGCAAACGTAGGCGTGCAACATTGTTTGGTAATAAAGTAAATGGTTTGAACCCGGGCGTATCGTTACATGTTAGAAAAGGAAAACGTCCAGGTTGGTATAGTCCTGAGAAGGACTGTTTTTGTTGTTGTTGACTGAAGTTTCGACAACCTTAGCGGTAGTCATCTTCAGAGTCAAATGAGGAGTAAACGTCAGGTTAGCCGTATTTGTTATCTGGTTCTTACGTCATTGTATTGTTGCAAATGAGGAATTGGTTTTATGATGAAAGGTCTCTTGGCATGGCTGTGATAATTTAGCACATACCACATCTTTTCGCAGACTACAGTTTTCATCAGTAATAATTCAATTCTATGACGAAAATTAATGCTGGTATTGAAAACAAAGTGTTCTTGTTATGAAAACATACATGTATAAAAAGTAATTATGATACACATCAACACTCTCACCTCTCCAAGCCCTTCCAGAATACGTAGCAGTACAAGGACGTAAACACTGAACTTTGCCGCAACAGGTGTAAACAATGTAAGAAGTGTCGTCCAAAACACCAAAACCAAACACACGTTTCGCACCATACTTTGCAGCTAACCAACCGCCAGGAAGCTGCGTGAATATGTAGCCGTAAAAGAATGAGCCAAGAACAATGCCTGATAAAAAAATACAAGTTCCTCTTAGAAATAATTCAATAAGACGCAATAACAGGTTTAATTTTGTATAAAATTATTCAAATTCAGTGCATATCAAACAAACAGCAAGCATGGCTGCAATTTAAAATTCGGACGTTAAAACTAAGACGTTATGATGGGAGCAGAAAAACATAAGTTCAAGAATATAGCTATGTCGCCTTGTCTTTTTTTAAGCAGAAAACATAAAGAATACTGATATAGTATAAGTATAAGACAATTAATAGCATACGTATGGCATTACGTACATGGTAGTCGTTATTGTTTAAGGGAGACTTAAAATTGATAATTAGGGGTGGGGGTGGTGCCTATTCATTTATTTATATCATAAAACCTGTAATCACAATTGATGTAATATAAAATAATATAGTAGAACATGCATGTATAAATATTAACCCCTCCCCAGTTATATATCTTTTACCACCTTTGTAGATGAAATTTGTTAACATCGAAATGTGATGAGATTTATTAATCTAGTCAGATATCTTTTATGCGATAGTGTCTGTGCATCTTTGCATCATAAAAAAGTTTTCACAGGCTCCTCTGATATTATATTTACTGCCATGTGCTTGAAATTGTGTTCTGAGACATTTTTCAGTTTCTCTGTTATAAAATGGAGCAATGTTGCACACTAGGTTACAATTAATTATATTACTTATCAGTGGGGCTAAGGATTCACCAAATGGAATAAATTTTAACTATTTATATGCATTTTGATCATGGAAATTATCACAATCCAGCTCCACTGCTAAAGATGTTGAATATGAAGACCAACAGGTTTTCACAAGATTGCACTAACTATCAACATCAACAAACAAGCATAAATTTAGAGAAGGATGCGCACTTGGCCAGGAAGAGGAGCAGGAGGAACACCAATTTACCTACTAATTATTAATATGCCAAACAGTTAAGAAAAAGTAACTGTGATTAATGTTAAATGGAGCACACTTCCAAAGGTATTCCTGTCAAGGCAACAGAATTTTACAAAAAGTCTGACATGCTACTGCACCAAGTTGCAACAAACTGTTAAATTTATGACTGAAGCATTCGTAAACACAGACTGGGCACCATGATGATCAATTTCTACAAAGGCCTTGAAAAATTGATGTTCATCTTTCTGGGCATTTACACTTGATTTATCATACACACATATACAAAGGTACAACAGTTTTATCATTTTGTTTACCTTGTAAATGTTGACTCCATTTGAATGCGCCATCATGCTAAACAAACAATGAGAAATACATTTTTTATTTCTGTGTGCATAAACATTAACATTGGTACTTTTTCGCTTTTCTTGGATAGCATGTTCATTACATTAAGGTCATAAATTAGATTTTGGTATATCAAAGTCAAATCAAAACAGAACAATGCCACTGACCATACTTTGAATCAAAAATATTCAACTGAAATATATTCCCACTGCTTGGTATTATTATTTGATATTTTATAATGAATTATCAGACATTAGATAAAATAGAATAGAAAATGTACTTGGATTTATCACTTTAGCTTGAATGTTGCCTAAACAGATAAATCATAAATGAAATATTTGTTTCTAAGTTCTTTTGTTCAACTAAAAAACTGCATTCTATCTGTAATTGTACTCAGAATTGTACGAAGGCTCTATTTGCCAATTGGAGAGTGTTAATGGAACTACTGTGAAATTGGCACCACACTGGGAACTACATTCAACACAACAATCATCACAACATTAATCACCACATTCAATTAAAATTTATCATTCAAAATGATGAATTGAAAAATCGTCTTTAAAACATGTTTTCCATCAAATACAACAGTAAAAATAATTCTTAACTACTTATTAATATTTTACTGTCCTTAAACATCACAAAGAAAGTATAAAAGTCAAGAAATTGAAGAAAACAATAAGCTTTAGGTTACAGTGTACTTTTTACTCCATACTCCAGATTTTGGATATGTTATAGACAATAAAAATATCTAAGATATGCAAAAGTTGAAAAAAATTCTACCGTGTACCTTTTTATTAATAGGCTTTTGTTTGCAAAATTACCTGGATATAGGAAGTTAATTATATAAGATTATATTACGCGCATTGGTGTCATCTAACTTTGTCGATGATTTTCTACAACTTACTTTTTTGTGCACTCTCCATATTTTGGATATACTTTAGACAATATAAATATCTACAGTATGAAAAATTTTTAAAAAATTCTACCGTATAGTTTTTTATTTATAGGCCTTTGTTTGTTAAAGAACCGGAATTCTTAACTTAATTAGGTAAGATTATATTACGCGCATTTGAGTCATCCAACTTTGTCGATGTTTTTCTATCATTTATATTTTTGTGTACTTTCCAAATTTTGGATATATTTTAGACAATATAATTATCTATATTCTGGCCAAGTTTAAAAATATTCTACCGTGTAGTTTTTAAATTATACGCTAATTAAGAGAAATGAAAAATACATGGTAACCTAAAACTTAGTGTTTTCTTCAATTTCTTGACTTTTATTCTTTCTTTGTGATATTTAAGGACAGTAAAATATTAATAAGTAGTTGAGAATTGTTTTTTACTGTTGTATTTCATGGAAAAAGTGTTTAAAAGACTATTTTTGAATTCATCATTTTGAATGATAAATCTTAGTTGAATGTGGTGATGAATGTTGTGATGAATGTTGTGATGAATGTTGTGATGAATGTTGTGTTGATTGTGGTCCCAAAATGGTGCCGATTTCACAGTAGTTTAATGGTAAACCAAGCAAAGACATGCATTTCAACTATACAATATATGATCCCAGGAAATATAAACATATTCATCTAGAGCACTAGCTTTAGCCTTGACCAAAACATGTGTTAATTAAACCTTGGTTGCCGAAGAACTTGCAGGGCTGCATCTTTCATTTTCTCTCTCTTCGTGGCCGTTTGCATACGAAGCATTCACCATTGCAACAAGCGCCACGCTTAAATTCACCCGAAGTGCGTAGACGTTTGCAAAGCCGAGTAACGCTATTATCATCAACACATGTCGTTTGCTAAAACCTTTCGAAGATGACGGAGTAGCAATCGGGGGAATGTCAGTCGCTTCTTTTCTCTCCTCCTCGAACATTTCTAACTCAATACGAACATAGAATCCTACTTACTACTTACACAGAATAGATACATACAGAAGCGCCACTCGATGTCGGAGCCTCTGATGTTCGTGTCCCCAGCATCCGGGAACTTTACACGGCGGCGATGTTTCCAGCCAGATAAATGCGGTGAAGGCTATGTAATTTAAAAATTAATTGAGACTTACCTATAAGTTGAAGTTTGATTGTGCCCATGCCCTTCTTTTCCTGACACGCACGTGAGTAAATGATATTCTCTCCTTATCGATAACATTCCTATTTCTTACGTGCTTGCAACTTGCCATGGCATTTTATACTTTATATGGCTTTACAGAAGATAGTGGGATAGTGAAATATCTTAAATAATAGCGGGTTTTATTCAAACATCATTTCAAAGATAAAGATGACTAAGGTGACTAGGTGAGCAAGTATTGTATACTTTTAATTTATTTACCGTATTTTGTAATTTGTAGTGCTGTACTTGCACTGTGCGATATTGCAGCGACGGTTTTAGCACATTTCTTCAACGATAAATGGTAAAATACTCAATTTTCAAATTGTGTATAACTATACTTCTCAAATTAAAAATTCGTGATTAGTCATTGGAACCATTTAATAATGAACAACCGAAGTCGGCTTTTGTTTTTAATGGCTTATTATAATATTTTGAAATGTTGAAGCATTAGCCACCCAGCTCCTTCCATAATTGCTTCAATTGATATGGATGTTTATTTGCAGTAGCTATACTATGTTTATGTACACAAAAATCAATTATTAGGCCAGCTTTAAGATTGTTTTAAGATCTTGACATAGTGTCCGTGCTTAATACATTAAATGGTTTTGTGTGTTAAATTTACCTGTTTGGAATTACTTCTATTAGTTTTTGTTCTTTCAAAACTCAGTAAATTGACGGACAAAGTGTTGCATTGGGTCATATTTCTTAACTATGAAAGGCTTTAGGTGTTTCCCAGGCCAGATGTTTTAACAATTGGTCGAAGGTATACATTTATCACCTCGAGATATATTGTCCAGGATGATTTTCAGTTTCAATACCATGAGCAGGATAAGGACTAACATCATGGTCAGTTTAAGTTTTCTTTTTCAGTGTCAATAGTTTCATTTGGCTATGGTTTTAAGTTTCTAGACAAGTTCCTCTTATTTTGTTGTAAATTCTACCTCATCTTATATGGATCAAGCCTCACTCATTGAATCCTTGCAAAACTGTGATGCATACCAAAACTAAAACACCACAACTTGAAGTATCTTGTTGAAGAGTACTCCTTGCAGATCTGAAATTCTGACAGACCAAATTTGTTTTCAATAATTAAAGGAAGTTTATCTTCTTCTGCAGTGGAAAGGGATTGATATTCAATTGATCAACAATATTGTTCAATCTTTCCAAATGCAGATCATATTGCTCGTGTGCCTCTTCCATTGATTGGACTTCCACAGCTGTTTCAAAGTTCGGTCTTTGAACCATTTCCTGATAAGTGACACACTATGCAATTTTGCATGAAAGGATGTTGTTCATGTTTCCTGTAGACACCAGAAAAAGAATTGATTACTTCATCATACAACCAGCCATGTATGAAAGGTTTATGTCTTTTGCACTAAGTAAAATCTGTGTTTTCTTCAAAAATCTCTTTATAAAAGTAATAAGATCATAGTATTTATATTCATTAATCATTTCATAATATTAATATCTAGTATAGAGGTGAAACTGGTAGTGCATGAAAGGAAGTTTGTGGATCTTTTGGTGATTTTTCCATTTTTGAGTAGCCTTAAGTCTTTATTATAGAATTTTCTAGTATTCTGAGCATGTTGGCCAACTCTTCTATTGTAGTGTATCTTCTTTAATTTTGCAGATGGTAGATTAGATAATCTGGCTTTCTTTTTCCTTGCTGGTTTTGACTTTGATGATTTGATGTTCATTTTCGTTTATTGACGTTTTAATGCCCAGCTGTGTGCTAGTCCTGAATCAGTATTGCTGTTATTCTCATGCTGAAGTGCAGACTGATCATTTTGCCAGGCTGGCTGAAGTGAAGTTGAATTTGAGTGGACCAAACTCTTTATTCTAGATAACAGATCACAACACCTAGTAATAGCTGTCCGTTTTGGGAACACTGGTTTAGGTAGAACAGCTGTCATAGTTTGTTTTATGTCAGTTTCTTCTGTTTCTTTTCTTGTCATGAAAACTTTCTGCACCACAAACTTGCTGAGCATCGTCAACTCTTTTCAAAATATGATCAATTGGTTTGAACAATATATCGACATCTAAGGTCAGAAATGGAGAATCTTTATATGCTGTTGGTAGGTTTTTCCATCCCCAACTTGTAAATTTTTTATTTTGAATAATCGCTAATAAGTGCTTGCATGGTAAATAGTTTCGTTGCCAGTCAAGACACTCGCAGCAAGGTATTTCTGTGTCATGAGGTGCCCTAAAATATACATGATAGTTGTGCTTTCCCATTTCACTGGTTACTAAAAATGCACCCATAGAGTCATCCACCAAAGCGATTGAACGTACATCTTCAGCATAAACAAGACGTTTCATGCAATGGTCGATAAGGTAGTTAGGACGATTATGCAGAAATTCTGGAATCTGTTTGTTATAACGCTTATATGCTGTGGAGCATTTTGTATTTTCGTTGATGTAGCTGAAATAAAAAATATAATATACAACTTTTTGGTGCAAGCACACAAAATTTAATACAAAAATTTTGGTTTTAAAACCAGTATGCATGAGATTCATGCAACTTCACTTTACGGTTTACTCTCGGCATTAATATAAATAATATACGTAAGCTAGCCAGGATCTGCCTCTCATTCAGAAAGAAAAACTGTGTCGCTTTAGATCATCTATTAATTGAATGCCAGACTTACCTTTCGTATTTGTCAGGAAGAAATTCATTTACAAGAATTGTTAACATTGCGCTGAGAGAATACTTTCGTAAAGTCAGTAAATACTGGTGTTTGAAAGCCCCATTTTGTCTTTCCAACCCATTGTTTGTGCTAACATAAACAAGCAGACGCTCTTTCTGAATGCCCATACCCATCTCTGTAAAAGTTAAATATCAATAAAGTATAAAAATGGTTGTAGGTTTTACTTGTATTGACCTGACGAAGAAGGAAAGTACAATGAAACGTACTTTTCCACTTTTCGTGTAAACGCTTGTGGTAGTTATTTGTGCAGTACATTTTGCGGCCGTGCAATTGCTAAGTCTGTATTCTTTTTTTTACCTTTTTGTGTCTTATCCACGTGTTTTCCAGCCACCTTTTAAAGCTGTTATTGGTCTTCCACTCGCTAGTGTCTTTAACTTTTTGCAGGGCATTTTCGTATGCATCCTCAGTTCTTGCCCGTGCCAATTGTCTCATCAAAGCCAATATAAATTCACGGTTGTCTGCGATTCCATTATCTTTTTTAGATGTCCAACGTTCCCATGCTTGCTCTCGATGAAAATCGCAAAGCAGCACTTTGCAGTCTGAAAATATACCCACATGTTACACTCCATGATGAATTGCAGAGCTACGTAGCCATGGTATATAGAACTTTTTAAAAGGATGTTTAACTTTGTCAACACGATTACATATATATCGTAAAATAAAAATAATCTGCATGTAGAAATTGATCAACCCTTTCTTCCCTTCCCATGTCCAAAGTTTTCTAATATTATTATTATATTTGATTAGCGATGGAAGAAATATAACTTGTGAATTGCTGTTCATTGCTTTTATTATTTAGGTGTTACATGGTTGATTTAGTGCAATAAAGAATGCCAGATGTTTTGGTCAAAACCTCTTGCAGCTCGTGCCTCATACCTGGAAAAACAAACTCAATTGATTTTATTTCTTCTTCACAAAGATCGGTCATCATATGCTGTGGGTTCCATCGTGGATTCCATTGATGTAAAATACTGAGAGCTTCTGTTATACTAGCTGTTGTTTCATCTTGTATTACAAAGGATGAAACGATAGCATAATCAACATTAGTCTTCACAGCAACAAAAAATAATGGCAAGGAATACTTTGTGGTTTTGTATGTGGCATCTAGGAAAGCTAGTTCCTGACCATAACGACAAAGTAACCTTGATTGCCAAGCCGTTTGGTGTATAAACAAAAGTCGCCCTTTTTGCTCCTTTGCAGTCGTCATAACCTCTTCATTTAAACTTATGTCGTCATCGCTGTCTTCTTCATTTTGTAAGTCTGTATTTTTGAATTCACCGCTTCCTTCAACGTATGGACGGAAATAAAATCTATCGTTGCTCGAAGCCTTTTCGCATTTCCATTTTTCAACCAGTCGAGTGACGTTGTCTTGGTCCATAAATGAAAGCCTGGCTCTCATTGCCGCGTTGTACATGTGATTTTTTATTGTTTTAGCTCTGGGAAAGTATCGTCGATTGTCACGCAGAGGTTGTTCTTTTCCTCGAAAAAGCTCATCCTTTATGTATATTTTCAAATGACGTTTCATCTCATGAACAGTTCGCACTCCTTCACTGACAAGTTCTTCTATCTTTCTAATAACCTTTTCATCTAGTCGTTGTGTCATTCCGCTGTGCTGAAATAGCAAAGGCAAAACTAGTTAGTGTCATGAATTTTATCATGCAGATGCCACAAATGATTGTGATGTTCTTGTCTACAGATTGCAAGACGAGCATGTCAAACAAGAGCATATACCATTCCAAGTCTGTGCGTGGTGTGATCTTCTGGCCGCGGAAATGAAATATAGATTCTGCGTTCAGTTTTACTGAGGAGCTGGGGTTTATTAAATGGGCTCGCAAATCAGCAGAGGTCGTGTCACGTTTCTTCTTTTAGCGTCATGTGGCACCTAAAAATATTGCACTCTAATCTTTTAGAAAAAACCAATTTAACATGTGTATACTTGTCGATTTACTATGAACAAAAATAAAGCCACAGTATAAGCAATTTTCTTTTTTATTAGTAATATACCTTGTATTCTGGAAACTTTATTACTTCTTTCATTTGTATGATGGCTGTGCAATCAAGTTTTTTACTATCTTGCTTCCAGAAACGTCTCTGTTTTATAGTATGATCTCCACGGTCGCCCTGTAATATGAGTAAAACTTTAATTTTAAGTCCAATTTACTTTCATTACCTAAAGAATTTATGAAG